CCATCACTGACTGCTGGGAATCACTCACATGCAATGCCATGCAAAAACTGTCACCTCCCCAGCCAGAAGGGTGCTGGAAGAGAATGTGCCTGTTTGATTTATTTATTTAGAGCCTATTGTAGAGGTGCTTCACTTTTGTCAAAATAAAATATTAAACAAACAAAAAGATCCCCGTGGTGAGGGGTAAGGGAAACACAGGCTGGGCTTCAGGAAAGAAGGCAGCTCATGTGCTTGGTGCTGCCTGGAGAGCTCCAGGACTGCAAATTTTATCAGGGTAATGTGATTTTGAAGGCTAAGCTGGGCTCAGCACTGCTCAGCACATGGCTCCAGCTCACTTGCAGCCCCACCAGAGCAGGGGACTGCAGACTGGACCTGGCAGGACAAATGGGATCCAGCCACGATTCCATCCTGGAGTCCAGCAGAGCAGAAACCACCGTGCTTTGACCCCAGCCCCACAGCTCAGGGGATTCCACAGCCATCCTCACCCTCTCTTTGTGTGCTCTGATGTGTCCTGGTACCCACCTTGGAATCATGGAGTCATTTAGGTTGGAAAAAGCCTTTAAGATCCTTGAGCCCAACTGTTCCCCCAGCACTGCCAAGGCCACCACTGACCCATGTCCCCAGGTGCCACATCTGCACGGCTTTTAAATCCCTGCAGGGATGGCGACTCCAGCACTGTGCTGGGCAGCTCGTTCCAGTGCTCAACAACACTTTCCTTGCATAATTTTTTTCCTCAAATCCCATCTAAACTTTTCTGGGTGCAACTTGAGGCCACGTCCTTTTGTCCTGTCCCCTTGTTACCCAGGGGCAGAGCCTGACCCCACCCTCCTGTCAGGGAGCTGTGGAGAGGGAGAAGATCCCTTCTTTGGGATTTGGTTTCTCTTTGATTCACTGAGCTCCACTTTGGTGCTACACAGCTAAGGAGAGGGAAAAAAAAAGTTTTAAAAAAATGTTCTTCTAGGTTCTTGCATTGTTTTGTGCCTCCAGGCTTCTTTTTGTGGGGCTACGTTTTCCTGAGGGATTGCACTGCTGAGGAAGGAGAGGTGCTAACAGCTTTTTTCCACATCTCTCAGCAGAATCCCAGCTAGCTGGCAGGAAGGCACTGTGTGTGACATCTTCCTCGACATATGTAAGGAAGTGGCCTCTGCAGTCTCAGAAATATGCTCCAAACTTCTTCAGTGAAGGAGGAAACACAGGTAAATTCTGTTCTGCTTCAAAATGTCACAGAATCACAGAAGCATCAAGGCTGGAGGAGAACTTCCTGGCCATCCAGTGAGCAAAAAGGAGTGAAAAGTGAACATATTCTCAGCCATTTCTCCTGCAGGCTGCTTGGTGAGAGTTTGGTGAGAAAGCAGTGAAAATACAGAGTGAAGGAGAAGGTTTGATAGCTGTCAGATATCAATATGATGGAGGGGAAAAATTTTTCATTTTTAGAGGGGAATGGACAACTCCAAAACAAATAATCTTATCAAAGGAAGAAGGTGCAGTTATGCTTTCATCTTTTCATCAATGCAATGATACTTTGATTTTATTCCCACAAATTCCCTGCAATATTTTCTCCCTTTCACGGGCAAATTAAGGTGCAAGGAAGTTAACGGGGTAATCTATGGTCAAAAATGGGCTTGGACAAGCTGGTATCAAAACTCAACTTCTCTTAAATGCAGTGACAGAGCAATTCCTCACAAATCAAATATCCTGAAAGAGAAAGGTACAGTGCCTCAAAGAAACTGTAGTCTCTAAAGCAGTCCCAGGTGTTCTGAGAGATTCATCCTTCATCTCTCCACATCTCTCTTTTATCCTTGGAGGTATTTAAAAGTGCAGCTGTGACTCCTAAGGACACTTTTTACTGGTGGTGTTGGCAGTGTTAAGTTTATGGTCAGATTCAGTGATCTCAAGGGTCTTTTCCAACCTAAATGATCCCAAATTCTCAGTGAGAGAAAGTCATCACCATGGGTCTCCACACCCGGTTTGGACTCCTGTCCCTTGATTTGTGTCATGCCACTCTGCACCTGGAGTAACCAATGAGTTACTTTCCCCTGAGCTAAATGGAGACAGAAGCTCATTGGGACGAGTCTCAGCTGAGATTTGTTGCTCCCTCCCCGTGCTTCTTCCTTGGCAATGATGGGAACAACAAGCATCCTTCAGGATATTTGACATCAAACCTAAAACTCACAATCTGCTTCCTGAAGGAATAACTGCCTTGAGTTCTCAGCTTCCCAGATGATATGTCAAGCATATTTCCAGCCTCCTGAAGCTGTCAGAGGATGCAGACAGACAAACTTATCTCCTTTAATGGGGATATTCTCACATTAAAGAGAAGACTGTAAGCATGTTTTATTACATGGAAGGTGGATGAACAGATGTGGTGGCTGGAAAAGTGGCCAGAAACTCTGACTGGTGGCTGGAGCTGCCCTGGCAAAGCTCCTGAACTGTTTAATTTCTCTCCAATGAATGTCACAAAGAGTTTCTTTGGAGAAAATCTCTCACACAGTTTGTAGGCTCAGAATTTCTCTCATCCACGGTCCAAGTTGCCTCCTGGACCTGCCATTCCAAACCCTTTATTAGCAACACAGTAAAGCACCTCATATTTATTTTCCCACAAAACCAACAATTGACTCACCCTATCCACTCTGTTGCTTTTCATGGTACTGGAAATCACATGAAGTCTTTTACACTTCAGCAGCCTGTGAAACTTGACAATCAATCATCCTGAAATGCCAACAGCCACATCCTATGACATATATGGATCTGTAGGAAGCATAGCTTGAAGCCTTTCTAATTTTAGCTTGTTTCAGGATACGAGAAGTTTCAAGCATCAATCATCCAAGGAAAATGCTTTACATACCAAAGTGTCACCAAAAAAAAAAAAAAATTAAAAAAAAATAAAAAATAAAAGTAAAAAAAAACCCAGGCTGCTGGTTTGTGTGTAATTGAGGTGCAGTGGAAGGATTTTGTATCCCTGGATTCCTGAAGCCTGTGGAATGCTGTGTGCTCTGTGTTAATCAGCTGCTGTTGCCTTGTCCCAGTAAAACAGGAATATAAAAATGCAGACAGTATTCCTTCAAGTGCATTTAAGCCAATAACTCACAAATTTGTGCTACTGATTTTCATTTTGCTGTACTTCAGAAAAGATTTAATTCTTTGCCCAGTTGCACTAAATTACTGCAGAAAGTATTAAGCTTATGTAAGCAGAATTAACATTATGGCTAAAACCACCAAGCAGCAGCTGGCCCCCAGTTTATCTTTGGCATACTCACAGCCTCCTTTTCTCCTGGCAGGAGGGATGACCAGCACATGCTGATCCCAAGGAATGCCCCAAATTTCTGTGCTGGCTGTAGGATCTTCTGCTGTCCCGTTTGCTGTTTCACCCCAGCCACCAGCTGAAGACCAGGGCAGTGTGTCCCTCCCACGTGAGAGGCTTAGCATTCCTCACATTCCCTCCCAGCCTTCCCAGATCAGACCCTCTCCAGAAATCACTGCTCTATTTCTGCCTTAACAAGGATGTGCAAAGCGTGGTGGGTTTTGTCTCAAGCCCAAAACCTGTGGCCCTGCCTGATGTCCTGAGTACATTCAGGGTTTTTGTCCTGGGGGAAAAGTGGGGCTTGTGGTTCATCAGCCACAGGAAGATCAGGCAGCCTGGGAATACATCGAGGCATAGCACACATTGGATTTACCACATTTCCAGCGTGATTAACAGTTCTGTGTTTATACTGCCCACCAAGAGTCCTGCTCAAAAACTCTGCAGCAATGACTGGTGTCCTGATTTGGCTGCTGGTGAGATGGGGAAAATTTCCCCCAGGAAGAGGAATTATCTGCAGGAACATAAGAAATGCTAAAATCAGTGGCTCACCTAACCTGGTATTCAGGAAACTTTTGAAACAGGTTAAATTACTTAGGAATAACAAATCTGATGTGTTTAAATCCTTTTCCCCCCAGTCCCCATCATCTGTGATTCCTTGGATTTGGGATGTTGTGGCCACATCCCAGGCTGTAGTATCCATTTATCAGCCTCTTGTTCCTAACAAGCCCTTCCTGGGCCCATTGACATTGTCAGCTTCCATAACATCCTGTGACAACGAATTCCAAAATTTCCTGACTCACTGCATAAAAACATTCTCTCTCTTTTCTCTTTCAAGCAGATCTATTAATTTCATTGTGTCTGCTAATTTTCATTATGGTATTGCAGGATTTTCTGACTCACTGTTGTGCATTCATCTTTATGATTTTTTTGTAGCTGCCTTGGCTTCCTCTCCAAATTGAAGAGTCTTTTCAGCCTCCTCATGGAGCAGCTGTTTCATCCTCTCCAGCTGCCATTTTCTCTGTATTTCTCACATCCCCAGGTCGTCCCTGAGACTAGACTGCACAACCTGTTCAAAATCTCAACACAGCCAGGTTTGTATGGCCACAAAGCCCTGCCATCCTGCTGACAGAGCATTTCCCTGGGTCTTGGCTGCTGCTGCACCTTGAACTGATGATTTTGGAAGGACGTGGAGCTGCTGCAGAGAGCCCAGAGGAGGCAGCAGGATGAGCAGAGGGATGGAGCAGCTCTGCTGGGAGGAAAGGCTGGCACAGCTGGGATTGTTCAGCCTGGAGAGGAGAAGCTTTGGGCTGAGCTCAGGGTGGCCTTGCAGGGCCTGAAGGAGCTGCAGGAACCATGGAGAGAGACAATTGCCAAGGGATGGAGGGACAGCACCCAGGGAATGGCAGAGAGTAGGTTTAGACGGGAAATTGAGAAGAAATTCTCTATTGTGAGAGGCCCTGGCACAGGGTGCCCAGAGAAGCTGTGGCTGCCCCATCCCTGGAAATGTCCAAGGCCAGGTCGGACGGAGCTCTGAGAAACCTGGGACAGTGGAAACTGGATGATCTTTAAGGTTCCTTCCAACCCAAACCACTCCATGATTTTATGATTCCATGACTTTGTACAGCCCACAACCCTAACGATGGAGAAAACATCTGTGTGCAGAGTTAAATTAATGCTTTTGCAGACAAAGAACAGATACGACAGAAAATAAATTTATTTAAACTGCTGCACAATGGGATCTCAATCGTTTTCAAATGCCAGCTGAGGGAGAAGTGACTCACATGGCTTGTGTACAGGAAGTCTCTTTGCAGTTTTCAGTGCTGAATTTCTTTTCCTCTGCAGACATCACTGGTGTGAGTGCAGTCGGCTGCTGAGGGGCAGCAACGTGTTTGGACATGGAGAGAGACATGGTTCCTGCCCTGGGGAGCTCACAGGCTAAATGTGACACGGACAAAACTATCCCAACACAGAACAATTGACTGAAATACCATCTGTCAGACATGAGATCCATTTTAACTGGAATACCAAATATATATATAAAGGCTACAGGTGGGACAGAGGGGTGTCTGTGTTCTGTTTATGTTTTTATGTTCATACAGGCACAAAAGGTAGTGATGCTTTGCTTGAGAAAGGGATTTTCTTTTCTTTGGTGGGGTGGCTCCAGCTGGTGCTTCCTGAACGAAAACAAAGACAATTCAATTAGAACTCAGCACTTCTGTGATGTTACAGATCTGAACTCGGGACAATGTTGTGATGAATTAATTCCCATGCAACAGATGAACCTGGATTTGGGAGGGGCAGCATGAGAGAAGTGATGGATTTCCTGCCCTGTCGAGGTGCTGGGAAATCCCACCAGCACCTGGTTGGTGAAACCTTTGGCAGCTACCTCAGAGTCTGAGTCAGCTGGGAATCCAGCCCAGGACAGGTCGGACATTGGGGCTTGGAGCAGCCTGGGACAGTGGAAAATGTCCCTGCCCATGGCAGGGGTGGAACTGGATGAGATTTAAGATCCCTTCCAACCCAAACCATTCCACGACTCTATGGATCCTAGAAACAGCACTTTGTGATCAGGAGGAAGGCCCATCACCAGAAGGAAAATCTGCTGGAAATTCCAACTGTCTTACAAGTTTCAGTGCAGGGGAGAAGGGACAGAGGAAGGACAAAACCTGAAAATTAAAATTAGAAATGCTGACAGAATTTGAGCAGTGCTGCTGTGCTCACACACCTGTACAGGACAAACTCTGCCTTCCAGCTGCTTCCTGTTTTGCAGCTTTAAATTTGGCCTATTTTCAGCAATTTTATACTGAGTTGTATTTCTTGTCAGGCTCATCTCTCTTACCAGTATTTTAAGTTTTCAACTAAATTTGAGAGAAGAATTCATGTGAGACATGGAGCTCCTAAAAACTGCAGTGGAAAAGCTGAGTAAGAGAGGAGAGGGAAGAATTCTTATTCCATGTGAAAGACAAACTGCAACACTTAAATCAACTTTTGAGTCATCAGCTGGGTACTTTGTGCATGGACACTTTGCCTGTCCACATTAATAATTACAAAAATTCCAAGTTTATGTTACTTTAAGTGTATTCAGAAACTCTGCTTGATATCTCAATACTTACCTGAAAACCTGTTCAAGAAATATTGTGTCATAGGGAACTGTACTAAGACTCTTCCTGCTCCTCCACCTCTTCCTTTTCTTCTCCCTCTCCCTGCTTTTCTTCTTCTTCCTTTTTTTTTTTTAATAGAAAATATTTATAGTTACCATATAGGAATTGAAAGAAAAAATAAAGTCTTGACATGCAGAGTTCTGCTTTTGCAACTGTTCTATTTCTAGTAAATGCAATATTCTTTGAGATTCAAAAGCAGAATTAATGTATGGAGGTTTTAATCTCAACATGGCAGGGTTGTATTTTGTAGAGTTAATAGACACGTGCTGGAATATAAGAACCCTCTTTTAGGGAGGTTAGAACACGTGGTTAAGCTGCAAATAGATGCTGAAAATCAAAATGAGAATATGAAATATGTGTAAATATGCCTAAATAAGTTTAGTGTTTTTTATTATACACTTTCCTGGAGCAGTAAACAACTAAAGATTCATGGCACAGGAGCTAGACTCCTGAATGATCTAAAAATCATCTGGAATCAGATAATTCAGCCTTGATTCTATCTCAAAAGTTATTATTTCTCTCTTTTATGCAGGAGAAATGACACTATTGAAAGACAACAGCCCTTTGCTTCAATCTACAGCTACATGAAAGCCTGAATTTGTGTAACACAGATAACAATCTCTCTTTATTCTCTTTCTAGAGTAAATGAAGCTCTACTCTGAAAACCAGCTGGAAATTGCTTTGTGGACTCCTCTGCTCCTCCTTCCAGCGATCTCTTGTCCTAAGGCACTCCCATGTGTGTAAATCAGCTTTATCTCAATCTGCCACCCCTTCACAAACTGCTTAGGCTGCAAAAGTGACGTGAACTTCTTGCTGGCATCATCAAATAACCAATCAAAGAATCAATCATGAGCTTTCAGTCAGGACTGCAGGTCGTACATGAGCAGCACTGACCTTTTGTGCCCACTCAGGCACCTCCTGTCTGTGCAGGAGTCACACCTGAGCTGCTGAAGTGAAATCCTCCTTCAATATCTGCTTGGGAATGGAACTGTTGGAATCAGATTCCTGGTTTCAATTGTTATTTCGGGAAAAACATTGAACAAAAAAAATCTCTTCTGCAAAACCAGAAATGTAATACAAATATCTGTGGATTAGAAGTTCTTATGCCAAAGGAATATTGCCTCTCTGGGCCTTTTCCCCCAAGGAAGGATGCCTTTTTAATCTCATGAGAACAGTGACACAGGGCCAGGAGAGCCCACAGACAAGGCTCATCTTTCAGATATTACCAACTTCCATCCAGGACTCAAGTCAATTAACTTTCACAGGAAAAAAAAAAGTGGTTATTTCTCTTGCTTGAAGCATTAGTTGGTGGTGGCAGGATAGAGCCAACCAGGCTTGATGGCCCTCAGCAGCATCTCCAGGAACCCCTGCACTTTGCTCATGGGTCCAGGAGCTTTAGGGTCAGGAAAACAAATCCTGGGAGGTGCAGCTGGGCTGGGAAAGGGGCTGAGGCTGGAGAAAAGGAGGCTCAGGGGGGACCTTGTGGCTCTGCACAAGTCCCTGCCAGGAGGGGCAGGCAAAGGAGGAGAGGGAATGGCCTCAAATTGCAGCAGGGCAGGCTCAGGGTGGAGATTGGCAAAGAAAATTTCCCTGGCAGAGTGGTCAGGCCTTGGGATGAGCTGCCCAGGGAGGTTTGCAGTCACTGTCTGTGGGAGTGTTCAGGAGCAGGCTGGATGTGGCCCTTGGGGACAGGGTTTGGGGGATGCTGCTGGCACTGGGGTGGCACTGGATGGTCCTGAAGGTTTGGGAAAAGCAGAAAAGTGTTTGAGGATTTGCACCTGGGTCTTACAAATCTCATGAGGGAAATATCTCCTTTATGGGCAGAACTGCTTAAATTGTCAGAACGAGTTTTTCACACTGAAAATGCAATCACAGCATGGTGTCAGTCAGTGATTATCAAAGATAGACTTGCCATGGGAGTCCTTGGCAAATTTTATTGAAGACTCTGTGACAGACAATGTCTCTTCCATTTACAGCTTTTAATGATTAAAGGCCCATCTTTGTTCCCAGTCAATAACACAATGATAGGACCAATAATTATCTCTAGCAGAATACGACTGTGATGTATTTACTTTCATGAATAAGGATTTACCAGCTTTTGAGTGAAGCAAAGGGACTGAAAAGGAATTAAATATACACAAACAAAATAGGATCATAAAATAGGTATACTATACCCCTGTTGCTGCATGTTCTTCCTCGCCTTCCTACAGAAGAGACACAAAAGAAAATGGTAAAAGGAAAAATTAAGGAAAGAATACCAGAAATCAGACAGGGAAAATACAGCAGAAATTAAACACTGAATTAAGAAAAATTATGTGGAATTCACTGGATTCATTTGGAGATAATGTTCTCCAAATTAACTCACAAAACACACTCAAGCATAACTTTTATGTTGGAAAAGGACTAGGAAATCATTAAATTGAGCTCCCTTCTCCTCAGCTTCTTCCAATCAAAACTGCTTCATTGGCAAGCAAAGATTTGGAGCTGGGTTTTGTTTGCTTGTTCAGGTGGCGTTTTTGTGGATTTTTTTGGTAATTAGCTGATCTACAAAATGAAAGTATAATCAGAATTATAGAGTCTTATCTATGCTATATATCATCATTCAGAATCTGGTGTATGATTCTGTTAAGTGTTGTAGGCTGCAACAGATGCCTTGGCTCAACAGGGAATAAAAAAAATAATACAAGCTGGTTTTAGACTGTAGATTGAGCAGAAGTGATGAGAGAGAAAAAAAACCGAAAAAAATGTACAAAGTGAATAGAATTTAATATTAGATCCTGGGCTGGCTACTGGGGAAAAGACCTGATCCTACACAAAATCCCAAAGATAAGAGGCAAATGTCACAGTGCCACACAGAAGGCAGAGGGGTTGATTTGAGTTCTCATGGAATGAGTTAAGGGAGTGAGTTGCAGTGCCAGGATTTAAATATGGCCTGGAATTGCTGAGACAGGATACAGACTTGCATTATAATATGATTTTTGAACATGTTTCTAAAATAATTTTGCCCTGAAGGAAGCCTAATCTGTACTGAAAACTGATTTAACTGGGACACCACTTAAAAAATATTCTAACCTCCAAGCTTAAACCTGAATCGAGATCAGACAGTGAACTACAGAAAATTTATTACCAGCACATCGAGTGACCAGCAGGGTCCATGTGAGCTGGAGCTCAGTCTTCTCTTCAAGAAACTCAAAACCAAAGGGACACACAAAGCAAGAATGGGAGGCACCACGTCCACGTAGACGAAAAGCTGGAGCTTCTGGATTTCTGCACCTCCCAGGAGGAGCAGCAGAAGTTGGAGAGAGCTGCAGCCTCCACACTGAACATCCCCTGAGCACTGCAGGAGCCTCCTGAAACCCGGACCCTCCCTGCAGCCCCGGGGCTGAGACAGCCCCAGCTGGTTCTGTTTTCTGTCCTGTGCTCACTGCCCGAGGCTGAGGGAACTTTACCTCGCCAAGACTCTTCCAGAATTTTTCCACAGTGCTGACATTTCTCCTGGGAAGTCACTGGAGAAAAGCTGGTTTGGTTAAGCCCCCCCAAAAGGCAGTCATTTTTGAGATGGTTTGAAGCTAAATAAGGCCAAAATTCTAGTGCTAAATTCCCACTGGCATATTAATTCAGCCATAGAACATAAAACTTGATCTTTCAAATTTTTGTGTTGAAAATACTTTTATCCTTTAGGACTTAACATCCAGTGGAGATACTCTGATGCCAATCTGGCAGTCTTTGAGTGTATTTACTTTCATAAAACCCTGCTCAGGTAAGGAAATGGTATTTTTACTTTCTTTTAGAAGCACAAAATGAGATACAGAGGCAAAAGGTGGAATTCATCTCACTGTAGCTGCCTCAGAGTTGCTCTTCTCATCTAACCCCATCCTCTGTGTGCTGTTCTGGAGTGAGTGAGAATAGCAGAATTCCTACAGAATGATTCATGCCATCCCAACAGAAGTGATAATTGGGATGAACTATAGCAAAGCAGGCAGATGCCACTGAAGGATTTGTCCTGGGTGACATGGGAAGTGGGTGGAACAGGGCAAAAAGCGTTTTCTGTGCTCTCTGCCTCTCCCCTCCCTGAAAAACTGCAAAGAAATCTATTTTTCACTTTTAGCTCCAATCCTTTCTGTGAGAAGTGGAGCAAGGTGCTGGTTGTATAGGAGTGGTACTGCATGATGTCAGTGCTAAACCTCTCCTACACAGCTGCCTGACACATTTGCAGACAAAATCCAGCATTCTGCTCTCATTTGGGAAACATTAAAGCAGAATTCCAGCCATAAGGGCAAGGCACTCAAGCCAGGCAGCAGTTTTGGCTCTTCTTATAAGCCAAAAAAAGGAGTTTGATGGCACTCACCTGCATGCTGAAATTCAGAGCAACAGGAAAAGTGCTTGGATATAATTTTCCTTAAGGAGGAATTTTGTTCCCACAGAGGACTGTATCTCCTCATCACTGTTTTGAAATGATGAGTGAGACTTCCCAGGGGCTGACATGTACATGAGGGTGTGTAAAAGGGGCTTTTCCAGCCTAACAGTGACCAAATCAGTCACTATTAAAAAGGGCCATGAGGGGAGGCTACAGAGAGGTGTTCGCTCTGGAGAAATATTGCAGCTAGATAAAAAAACCCCAAATTCCATTTGGTCTGGCCTTTGATGTAAGAGATGATGCATTTGTGCTGGATATTCCCCAGAGGCCATATGATCTCCAAACACAGAAGAACCTGACATGCAGCAGCAGGCCTGACTCCCTGGGAAGAGTCAGCATCCAAAAAAAAACCCATCCTTAAAGGACAACCTGAGCTGCAGTTTGAGATCTGTAACACCAGAGCAGGAGCAGACAGAAAGGAAAACACTGGCCTCTGTTTCTGCACTGCCCAGGGATCCTGCAAGGGCTGGAGAAGTCACTGTCACATCTGCAGCAATCATTTACAACCAGATTTACGAGCACTGCACATGCTGGCTGTTGAGAGCAACAATTTTTTTTTCACACAGGCAGGACTCAGATGTCTAGTCCTAAATTATCCTCCATAACTAGACTCTGGCTCCCAATGACCATCAAGATAAAATAAAAAGCTTGTGGTAACAAGTGGCAAAGGGCAGCTGCTGTTATTTAAGAATCAGAACAAAGTTCCCTGCAGTTTTATCCAGGTTTCATATCATCCTGATATAAAAAAAAAAAAAAACATCCAAGAGACACTCTGAAATCAGTCACCCTGGGGCACACCAGGAGGGCTTGTGGGTTCATGTTCCATGTGCTTAGCACAGGTAAAACCCTCAGATCAAAAAGAAAAAGGAAAAGTTACCTGTTGACCTTCTGGTGGTGTCTGGTCAGACTGGGCCTCTTCAGGATCCCCCTCACCTTCTTTATCTTCTGTGTGTGCCTCAGTTTCACTCGTGCCATCAGATTTTTCATCCTTGGAATCAGATTTATCTTCTGTGGCTTCTGATTTCTCCTCTGTGGTATCAGACTTTTCAGTCTCCTGGCAGCAAAGGGTAAGTCATGATAAGCTTCAGGGCATATAATCAACAATTCATTTCTATAAAATTCTTGAGTTTCTTAGTTTGGGAAAGTGTTTTTCTATTTTTGCTTCAGCTCTCAAATGAAAATACCCCCTTTTAAGGTGTATTTCTCCTGTGAAAAGAACATTTGCTGGCATGTAGACCAGGTGGGGTTTGTGTGGGGAAAACATGAATTCAAGCACTTCACAGCATAGCAGATTCTCTAACCTTCCTCTGGAAAGTTCAGTAGAAACCAAAGTTCACCCTAATGGCACATTTGAGCTTCAGGGGAAAAAAAAAAAAAAAAACAAAAAACCACACAACATTTTCCACCAGCATGAATTCCAATTAAGCATCATCCAGAAGCTCCAGGAAACAGAAGTAATAAAGGATTTCACATTTAGTCTCTCAGCCTTCTTGCTTGAAAACATCAGGAAACTCTTCCCACATCTGTCAACCAAGTCCATTTATTCCAGCACCATGGCTCGCTTATGCAAGCACCTCCTGGGAGGTTCTTTATTTGACAAATATCCTGGTGTCCTTTCAGCCAGGTGGCTGTGAAAGGTCACAGTGGCTCCCACACTGTGTCAGATAAAAGGAGGCCTCGAGTGGAACAGCAGAAATATGATGAAATGCAAAAGCATGAAGTGCAAAGGCACCGTATTTGGGACGAGCAGTTCTGGGTCAGAGATTAGAAAGTGGTTTTAACTATTGCACTTTAGGAGCTTGTTAGCCAACAATCATCAAGGAAGAAAAAGATGGATGTATTTAAATTAGCATGGGATAACTGAGCCATGAGTGTGATGTGACAATGGAAGGTAAAAAATGTGATCCTCAGATGCATGAGGTGAGGCAAAACCTCCTCTGGATTGCTCTGTGCCATCCCAGTCACTCAGACTCAAGAAAGAGAAACCCAGACTGGAACAGGTGCAGAGAGGGCTACAGGAACATCTGAGGGAGTGGAGAGCCTGTCTTATGAAAGGGTGACAAAAAAAGCTTCATTGCTTTAATCTATTGACAGTGCTGCTGTGAGGGGATATGATGGCACTCCCAAAATAGATCAGAGTAAACATCAGACAGGGATAAGATAAGGAAGAGTGCTGAGGGAGATGCAAAATGAGTACAAATTGGCTGTGAAGAAAAATTCTAATCATCATCAGTGGGAGACTTGGGAAGAGATTTATAGTAGAGAAGCTGAGGTAAAAGACCTTATTCATTAAAACGAAATTTGACCCCTTCTGAGAGGTGTTACCTGGGGTGGGTTCCTCTGGCACTCAGGGAAGGTCCTGCCCTGGGTCATCCCGAGTCCCACACGCTTTGGGAAGAGCAGCACATCCCTGAGAGGAGACAAACTCCTTCCCCACCCCTGTGACCAAGCCCTTCCAGCTCAGCCACCTGCTTGGTTTGGGGTTTGCTGCTTTTCCATAATTTCATTTGTCTCATCAGTTAAACAGAAGGCCTCAGTCACGTCCCCTGTGCTTTAAACTTCACGAGTTCTCCTGCAGTGTCCCCATGATGATTTCCTCAGCCAGTGCACTCATTCTGCAGAACAGGCCATGTCTGGCTGGCTTTTATCCCCAGAGCTGACTGGCTGCCTTAGGGACCTTTGTCCCAAGATGTGCTGTGGGACATAAGAGATGTCCTCCTGCTGACAAGCTCTGCTGGATGGGGACAGAAATGATAGAAAGGGGCTTAGGAATGTTAGGAAGCAGATATCACAGCAGTTTGATGTTTTGGCTGAAACTTGACTTCCTGTAAGGCTTGGTGCTTTTTGGCAATTTTCTCCTGAATCGTGGAAAGTCAGTTTTATATCTAAAGTTACTTGCAGTGCAAAGAGAGTGGGCACAAAGGTCCCCGAGTTCTCCTTCCTCTGGAACTGGTGCAGGAGCTGATCAAGATGAAAGCTTTAAAAAGCAAGACGTTTCTACCTCACACCAGTTTCACTCTCACACAGCTGCACAAGTGTTTCTGCCAGCACGTGGGGGATGCTCGAGGAGAGGAACGAGCAGCTGGAGGGAGCAGAAGGAGCCAGAGGAAGGAGGAGGGAGAAAAGACAATTTCTTTTTCTGGCAATATCTCATTTCAAGTGCACATACAACTGTGGGCTCACTGCACTCTGATGCTGGTGGCATTGTTATTAAAAACAGATCTACAGAGACATTTGTTTGGCTTGGCTTATTGTTTACTTTTCTCCCAGAAGCCAAAAAATATTTGTAGATTAAAATATGTAGTAATACAAATATACATTGAAATTCTCTTGTGCAACCTTGTGATAATACATTATTTCCTTAAGGAAGTGGCAACTTCTTACAGATACTTTCTTTGCAGAAGTTCCTCTAACTGAAAGGGCAGCGTTAGTGAAAATTAAATTAATAGAACCTCTGACCATGATTTGGGTTGGAAAGGACCCTAAAGATCATCTCCAACCTCCTTGCCATGGGCAGGGACACTCTCCACTAGACCTGGTTGTTCAGAGCCCCATTCAGCCTGGTCTTGAAATTGGTTAAATATTTATTTTCAGCACAAATATGAAAATTTAATTAAAATCCATGCACTCAGTATTGTTGCCTGGGACAAAAAATGTATAAGAACCATAGAGAGCATCCTAATTAAAATGACCCTATTGTGTGAATCCATCCCAGATGAATCACATAACTTAGATCACAAGGCACAAAAAAGAGTTGTAGCTGAAAGAGCTAAACTCTAGGAGCAGCATGTTATCAGCCAGAACACACACACACACACAGAGTTCTTGTTAATTATATGGAGAACTCTGACATTCAGAATATCATTGCTACACTGGCTCTCCATAGAAACACAGAATTTAATTTTCAACTAATTCAAAATGAAGTACCATTTCTAAAGATTGGCTGACAGGTCATCTTGTCTTTAAATAAAATCCACAGAGCACAAATTTGTAATTCAAAGCAGATTTAGGAGAAGCCTTCTTCCACTAAATTAAGCTTGAGTATCTACAGATTTCGGGATATCAAGATTCTGGATATTAAGATCAAGAATAGAGGGATTAAGGCTTCAAGTATGCACAATATTTGAAAACAGCTCCTCTGTAAATCACTGAGTTCACTGAGTCAGACTAAGCATAAAAGTGGTGCCAGTTTTAAAAAAATGTACCCAACTTTTCAGGCAGCTGAGACTGACACACCTTACCCCAAACATACAAATTACAGATTATAGCTCAGATCTACACATGTATCCTATTGGGACATCACTACTCAGGCCACTTGTCCAAGATTAAACAGCATCTCTCAGAAATCTATCACAAATTTGAGTGATCTCTGGATCAGGCATAAGGCACAGCTGCCCTGAAATCCCAGCCTGCCCTGAATCATGTTTGGAACTAATCTAGACCAGGTATTCCTTCAGGTGAGGAGGTATTTGGTATAAACAGATTAAATTACTGATTAACACAAGCACTGCATCTGCTGCTTCTCTCAGGCACAGAAAACTGTTCTGCTCAGCTCTGCAAATGATGCTTTAGAAAATACAAAAACCATTGTGGTGAGGAGGCAACAGGAGAGAGGATGATGTGAGCTATAACAGACCCTCGCTGAAGCACCACAAATATGAATTGGTTTCCTGTAAAGTCACTGAATTTATGGGCACACTGCACCCTTTAAGGCAATAGATGTACTTAGTATGATAAAATCACAGAATGAGAGAACCACAGAATTATTTGGGTTGAAAGGGACCATGAAGATCACCTTGTTCCATGGACAGGGACACCTTCCACTATCCCAGGGTGCTCAGAGATCCAGCAAACCTGGCCTTGGATACTTCCAGGGATGGAGGAGCCACAGATTCCCTGGGAAACTTTTCCTAGGGCAAAACTACCCTCACAGGAAGGAATGCCCTCATAATATCTAATCTAATCTAATCTAATCTAATCTAATCTAATCTAATCTAATCTAATCTAATCTAATCTAATCTAATCTACCTGTCTTCAGATTGAAACCATTCCCCCTTGTCCTGTCCTTCCATCCCTTGGCAATTGTCTCTCTCCATGGTTCCTGCAGCTCCTTCAGGCCCTGCAAGGCCACCCTGAGCTCAGCCCAAAGCTTCTCCTCTCCAGGCTGAACAATCCCAGCTGTGCCAGCCTTTCCTCCCAGCAGAGCTGCTCCATCCCTCTGCTCATCCTGCTGCCTCCTCTGGGCTCTCTGCAGCAGCTCCAGCTCCTCCCCAAGCTGGGACAGGGCTGGATGAAGCACTCTAACATATAGAATATACTCATATATAACAAGAACAAGAGAATTTGCAGAACTGAATGTGTATTTTTCACTCAGCAATGGTAATGAATTGGCAATAAATTTAGCTACAGGTATTTTGTTGGGAAGTTAAAATTTGTTGAGGGATCCCCAAAAGGTTCATCTGCTTCCTCAGATGGAAGGAAATAAATTAAAACAGTCCTGGTCAGGATGCTGTTGGATTGTGCTGTGAAACAAGATTATGGCCATTAAAGAACTTCTCTAGTCTTGGTACAGTATGAGACAAAAGATGGATGGAAAAAGAAATAGAATGTTGCAAGACAAGAGTATCAAACAGGTATCAGCTTTATATTAATCTTTGTCATGTCTCAGCATGAGAAAAATCCCTAGAAAGCAAATGCTTACAGCCTTGTGGTGATACCATGCTTTATAGTTTGCTTCTTCATTCCAGAAAAAAAAAAAAACAACACAATTTTTAAGAAGGGATTAATAGGAAACCTTGCCATATGTGTCATCATCACCATCTATTCCACACCTGACTTATAATTCCAGATTTATGCTGCTGGAAGTCAGTGTCATGAGCCATCCATTGTGCTTATCTGAGGTGGAGTTGACACAGGATGAGGGGGAAGCAGAGGCAGAAGCAGAGCAGGAGAGTTCCTTGCTTGACAAAGGCAGCCTCTCCTGCAGTGAAGATGCTGAGAAACATCTCTGCAAGAAGTGTGTGTGTCTCTGGCAAACAGGAGTAGACTCTGAAAGGGAGACTAACAAAATTCCACATTTCACAGAGACTTTACAAACACTCTCACTTATTTGCACTCTCTGGACTGAAGCCACCACCAAGGCAGCAGTTAATCACTGTGAACAAGGCTTGCCTGCCACCAATGGCACTGACAAACAAATCTGCCCAGCAGAATGTACCAAACATATTATTTTCAACATTTCCAAGGTTGTCACAAAGTAGAAACTGTAATAGCATCTGCTTACAGCTGGGAATAAATGAATTCTAAAAAATTGTAACTCTGCTTCATAGATATGGGATCTACCAAGACCTTGCATGAAGAAGCAGATAATCTGAGGAGTGGGAAGGTGGGAAAATGCAATTTTCTTTATCTCACTGATTCTCCACACATCTTTTATAATAATTGTAATATGCAATACCTACAGTCCTTTAAGCCTTTCATGGCTTTGTGGATGTTAATTAAATGAATTCTCACAAGACCCTTGTGAGGTAGAGAAATCATTTTTATTTCCCTGGGTGGGAGATGGCACAGCTAAAGCAGAAAGTTTAAATCACTCTCCTTATCACATAGGGACCCAGTGTCTAAGACATTTATAACAACTGGGGCTCTCCCCTGGGTGTGTTTTCAGCTGTGGCTCTCAAAGCACTTAGCAAAGGCTCCTTTTGTTTTTTTCCCTCTGCTTTTACAGAGGAGAATAAAGAGATACTGCCAACGGTGTTCCACTCAAAGCTGCTGCAGAGCTGGACCAAAGGCAGATCTGCACCAAGGCAGTTCCTCAGCCAGGTCACCACAATGCAGCAGAGTTCTCCTGTCACTCTGGCACATCACTCTCCTGATTAATTTCTTTTGTTGGCTCACCCACGTTAAAGATGGCAACATTTTATTACCTAACATGAGCTCAGGATAGCAGAGCTGTAATGCTCACAGTTATAAAACTTCTAATTAGAAGAAGATTCCAATAAAGAAAAAACATGTTGGTTTCTGTAAAAACAACACGAGGTAAAAATGGGGGGGGGGGGAAAAACCTCAAAATAAAATGTTTTGCTTTTGCCAGAAATGTACTAGAACACTGTCAAAATATGATGGAGAACCATAGGCAGACTTGCCAAAGGGACTTGGTGAAGGGCTGGGTGAGCCTTTTCCTCCTCCAGGCAGAGGGAGAGAGGTCCATGGTGCCAGGGAAGGATGGGATGGGTCTGATCCCAGCCCTGCTGTTGGGGTCAGGACTATCCCTGTTCACTGTGGTCAGGAGCAAGAAAAGGATTCTTGTAACCAGCACAACCCAGAGATTGTGTGAGGGAGTCTGCATCATTCAAAAGCTGAACATAGTAAAACTGCTTTGTGTCAACAACAACAACAAACCCATCAGCTGGAGCCATGGTAACAAGCCTGCAGTGAAAGTAGGCAAGAAAGAAGTATTTTCTAGTATTTACTGAACCAGCCACTTTTTTTCCCCCTAAAGAACACTTTGCTGCTCCAACATCTAATGTATTGCTTGTCACTGCCTCTTATGTGACATGCTGAGTCACTGCCTATGTTCATCTTTTATTAAAATCAAATAAATGATCCCCAAGGAATGACAGAAGTGCATACCTTTGTGCCTGGAGGAGGTGCAAGGCCCAGGAACGAATAAATAATATTTTCTTCCTTAGCAGAGAAAAAGGATTCAAAATCCTAAGAAAGGAACAAACAAACAACAGAGAATTGGTATCAAAAATTAAACAAAAAGCACAGGAGGAAGAAACCAGCCAGGGCAAATCCTACATTGATGAGAATGACCATGCATTTGTACAATTGTCTGCATTACCTGAGCCCCAGGAAGAAAACACAGATAAAGGGAGTTTCATACAGGGTGGCAAAATGAATAAATGAGCAAATCTCTCCAGAGACTTACACTTTAATTATATCCATCCATGGCAGAATCAGATAAAATTGTCTCACTTTAACGTGCCTCGGCTGTACATTCTGAGGCAAAGCTATTCCCTTTAAATGTTAAAATAAAATTTGCTGCGAGTAAGGACATGAAATAGGCCCTCAAAACCCTGGAACTTTTTTATGGCAAATTAAAGGCAACAGTCAACATGATAGCTCAAGTGAAATGGTAACAAGGAAACTTTATCTTGGAGAAAGGCAGTCTGATTAGAAAATGATGTTATTTTCAGATGAACTTAGCAAAGGGTTGTGCTGTTTTCTCTGATATCCATGTACCAGCCAAAACGTCTTGTCCACTGGTGAGATGAAATTATAAATCATTACATTAAACACCTGTTTTCAGTGGAAATGGAACTGAGAAGACCAGGGATGCCTCCTATCCTGCCAGCTACAGCCTGCTTACTCTTTACTGCTTTCACCTGTACAACACTCCTGTCAGTTAAGGAAGTTTTGTTATCACTATTTTGGTTATTGGGAAGTTCATGGCTCACATCTTACACAGGTAAAAATCAACAAATTTAAGTTCCAGCAAAATCTCCAGTCAGAAATGACTGAGAATCACACCCAGCTCTGAGACAGGGGACTGAACATGTCCTGCTGAGTCCTACACTAGTGCCTTGATCATGTTATCATCCTTCCTCTAATCCCAAATAACTCCAAGAATAGAAGCCTGTAAATAATAAGGTGCTGAGTCATCCTTGAGACTTATTTGTAAAGCTGGGTTAGGACCCGAGTTGTTTTATTGAACTGTTTTAGTATTTCCAGAGTATAAATTATTGGAAAGGCTGGAGTGGATTGTTTTGAAGTCACCTTAATGCCAACAAGAGTGGAATTGATGACATTTCAGGGCACTTTGGAAGAGCTTTATAGACATGACAAATGGCAGCTCATTTCACTGATTTATCTGAGGGACAGAGTGGCTCCAGGCCACCCATTTCTTGGATCATCTTCTCCTCCAACCCAGGCAGTGTCTACATCTGGCTCATGGATTTAGGAGTAGTGCAGCAAACAAGAAAATGAGAATTTTCTGCAATTTGAAGGGCTGGAATTTGGCATTGCCATGTTTGGTAAACACAGAAAACCTGTGCCCTCCTGCACATCACATGCTCATAAAGCAGCCTGAACAAACCATGGCATGACTTGGCAAGAGCTGGGGAACAAAGAGAAGAAAACAACAAGGAAAGGTCATGAAGCGGACTTGATGTTTTATATGACTTCTTGAGGAAAATTAGCCTCTGGCAAATGTACTAAAACTCTCCAGAAACACAAAGCCTTGTAGGTAAGCAGGCCTGAGGACACAAGTAAAATGAATGACCAGACAACTCCTTATCAGAAATGGGTATAATATTCTATGATATCAGGTGCTCCTTGGCAACAGGGAGTGGGCAATGACATCCCACAGTAAATGGAAGGTCACTTATTTCCTCACACTTTGGAGGAAGCTATCATGTATTAAATAGGAGATAAATGAATGCTCACAGTGATCATAGAATAGTTTTTCTATGGTGTATTTGCACCCATGCTTTACTAATGGTGACTTGTTCACATCTCCATTTGCTGAATGACTAAAGAAAACTGCTCCCAAGGCAGGCAGTAAGAAAAATAAGCAGGAACAATTTATTTCAGGTAAGCAATTATATTTTATCTGTATGAAAAGACACAAATGGTCTAAGTGGTGCCATTTGTCAATTGGACATGAGCAGAAAATTCTTCCCCCAGTGCTTGGTACAGCACCAGGTCAGAGCACACAGACAGGGCATGGAAATGCTTAGAGTCTTTTGCAATTCAGGTGGCCAAAGACCCTGGCAATATAAGCTACCTTTAAAAGCTACCCTGCTCTGAGTAGCAGGCTGGACTACAAACCTCCAGAGGTCCCTATACTTCCATAAATTTGACTTTAGCAGTTAAATAAATGATAGAATAATAAAATAGCCTGAGCTGGAACAGGACCATAGAGATCTTCTAATTCCAACCTGGGCAGGGACACCTTCCACTGTCCCAGGCTGATCCAAGCCCCAATGTCCAACCTGGTCTTGGACACTTCCAGGGATGGAGCAGCCAAAACTTCTCTGGGCACCCTGTGCCAGGGCCTCAGCATTCTCACAAGTAAGAATTTCATCTTAATATCTAATCTAAACCCACTCTCTGGCAGTGGGAAGCCATTCCCTGTGTGCTGTCCCTGCATTCCCTGTGTGCTGTCCCTCCATCCCTTGGCAATTGTCTCTCTCCATGGTTCCTGCAGCTCCTTCAGGCCCTGCAAGGCCACCCTGAGCTCAGCCCAAAGCTTCTCCTCTCCAGGCTGAACAATCCCAGCTGTGCCAGCCTTTCCTCCCAGCAGAGCTGCTCCATCCCTCTGCTCATCCTGCTGCCTCCTCTGGGCTCTCTGCAGCAGCTCCAGCTCCTCCCCAAGCTGGGACAGGGCTGGGGCAGCTCTGCAGGTGGGGTCACACCTGAGCACAGGGACAGCATCCCCCCCTCACCTCTGCCCACCTGCTTTGGATGCAACTGAGGACACAGTTGGTTTCTGGGCTGCAAATGCACATTCCAACATCAAATAAAAGTCTTACCTAATCATTCAGAGATGTTTTTTAAAGTACCTACAAGGGTACTTTATTCTACATATTTCAGTTTACAGAAGAAAGCAGGGATTTCAGCTTACAAAGACAAACAGAAGTTTCCCTTTCATTTCTTTCCGAATTTTCTAAGGGTTTTTGTTAAGCAAAAGCAAAGACAAGAGCAACAGAGTGCTCAATATATTTAGCAAGTGACACAGATGTAGACGTCTGTCTAGACATGAGCAAAGAAGCAGCTTAAGAAAAAGATCAAATAAGGACATAATTGCCAGCACTGATGGATTAGAATGGATACTTGAAATTGGTGCTGTAGCCAGGCATACAAAATGAATCAATTTCTAATCTATTTCTTCAAGTGGCAATACCAAAGATCTGGGAGAAAAATAAGATCTGAGCTATTTTATCAGACAGCTTTAAGCTTCTCTGACCTCGTGGAAATGCTGCTTCCAGGAAGTGTATCTTTATAAAAATCCATCTATAAGAAACCTCCACTTTACAGTACAAACTGTGGAGTGGAGCAGCTCTTCATGGTCACCCAGAAAATGAAGATACTTTTATGTATCAGCAGAGAATCAGATGTGCAGAGGGGCTGACTTTACTTTCTGCTTATGTCATTCTATCCTAGCACAAACAGAAGACTCCTCACCTGTCCCCAGAACCCCCTTTTCTTTCCACCACTCCAAAAATTTCACTGAACCTCAGAGGAGGACGTTGGACAAGGTCCCAAAGGACCATTCCTCCAAGGCAGGAATCATTGCATCACTATGATCAACCTTTAATGAGATAATCTCCTGAAAACCACATATTTTCTGATGTCTTACTTGAACTTTCTTTGCTGCATTTTCTTCTCATACAGCTCATCCCACCTCCAGTGGATGTGAAGCAGAATACATTTCCAAAATCCTAGATAATTCAGGTGGGAAGAAACCTCAGGAGACCACCTGGACCAACCTCCAGCTCAAAGCAGGGTCAATACTGAATTCAGTCCAATAATTTGCTTTTTGCCACAGCCCTTAAAATAGTTGAAGGTTGTCATGTCTCTCTCCAAACCCCTCTTTCTCAGGTAAAGGAAAGAAATATTTAATCTTGACTTTTTATCTCCCAAGGTCAGATCTCTCAGGCCATCATGATGTAATGTGTACACACATGCACCATGTGTGAATGGGCAGCAAACATGGATAAGAACAACTGATAAGACCATTGATAAGAAGGGAAACATGGGAAAAGAGTTATCCCAGAAAGAAGAATGGGGAAAAATTAAATGTAATAGATTTGAGCTAAAAAAACCAAATAAACAAACAAAAAAAGTACTAACCATGAAGAAAGAATATAAAAGTGAGCAGGAAGGAGAAGGGGAAAATATCTTACAAAAAAAGAGATAAAGGTGTAAAGAGCTTGTTGTTTAGCCCAGCAAAATGAAGACTAATAGAGGATAGGATTCCCATTTACAAATATACTGGATTGGAGCTGTTGAAGCTAAAAGGTGATTTGGGCAGAGCAGGAGATGGATATGAACTGTCTACATTTAGCCAGGCTACAAATTCAAAGGTTTTTAGGTGCCACAAGAATGAGGCCCTTAAAAACCGATGAGAGCAATATATTTTAAAAGGATTTTCATGAATTCAAGATACTGCACTGGAGTCACACAGAGCCTTGCAATCCTCAGGGATATTTTTAATAAAATGGCTGAGGCCAAAGGAATGGGACAGAGGAAGATGTATCAGATAAACATTAACCAGCCTAAAACAATTCAGGATTTCAGAGCAACGGCTCTGCTGGGCCTGCACAGGCTGTGCAGGAAAGCAGAATGCAAATCCCCAGGGTTTTCTTGTAGAATATGTCACTTGGGAGGATTTTGCAGCAGTCTGGCAGCCCCTGGCCATGTTCTCAGCCCACATCACACTGCCTGTGCAGCTCCCTCGAGGCAGCTTCCCCTGGGGAGAAGGGTAAGGCTCATGCACTGATATGGATCTCATTACCTTATTTATTTGGAAATAATGATGCTATAAATTAGTCTTTGTTATGCACCAACTGGGATCATTAGCTCTGAGCTTTGAGAGCTGGGTATATTAGAATTCTGGAGACTTTTAGACTAACTGTAAATTTGATTCAGTTTTTAAATCAGTAGCTACAACTCCTTTCCCCATGGAGGTGTTTTTGCAAAGGACTATTTCTTCACTTGAATTTGTTTCAAGATGTAGATTATTTGGCTTCCTAAAATCGCTTCAGATATACACAGTTTTTACTCCATATATCATTTACTGTCAAGACTGACCGGTTGCAACACTTTATAAGGCACTTACTCTTTAATTTCTTATATAACTTCTTCAGGGAAGGTCAGAAATATTTATTGGAGCACAGACTGCCACAAAACCCAGAGTAAGATATATCAAATTATACTTCTTATTGGATGCTGAAAATGCACATGAACTCCAACACAACAACTTCTCTTTCAGGAATTGTATAAGAAAACGAGGAAACAGCTGCACTCCAATATTCATATTATCAACTTGTGCTCTGAGAACACCAATGTTAATTCTGAAGACTGAGTGGCATGAAAATCCCTGTTCCCCCAGTACAACCTTGTAGAAGTTCACACTGGATTTGTGCAGTAACTCCAAACCAGGCTCACTGTGTGCCCTGCATTCCAGAGCTCTTTGCAGGTTCATTCCAGCCATCAGATCTCAGCACTTTCCAAACTGGGCATTTCCACCCAGACTATGAGAAAATAAAAGGTCTCAGATTATCTCTTTTGATTCACAGTCCTAATATTCACACTGGCACATTATTATCTTTCTCTGCTTTGAACAAACTGTCTTGAGAGAAAGAACCTGTTACAAGCACATATGAAAATATAAAAGCATCTGATTGCTGTTATGAAAAGTTGGATGAATAAGCAATATAAAGCCAATAATTCAAGCACATTCTAGAACTATTCCAGTAAACAAAGATTCCTATTTATTTGTATAATATAAAGATTCATATTCCCAGCCTCTGGTACCTCAGATATCTACTTGACGTCCTTGAAGCCCAGATAATTCCAAACAAACAAAATATCAACACTCTCCATCAAAATTAACTGAAACTTCAAGAAGTTTCTCCAGCAGCCAGTTTTCCCTCCATGCATATTTTGCTCTCAAAAATAAATAATCTGTTTCATTGCTTTTCTGTGCTTAAAGAATGTTTTCTGAGAATTGTTCCTTGACACTGAATCTCAAATTGTTTTAAGGCGTTTCTTTGACGCTTCCTATTAATGGAAAAGAGTCCCTTTCTGTGAGAAACCACCCTCTGAAGAGATTTAAATTGCCAAACAGTTTCTTACCCCACAGTACCGCTCCTCATTGAAGATCTGTGGAGGCAGGGGAATTCCATTCTGAGGCTTTTTTTCACCTGGGACATTCTCTCTCATCCATTTCCTATTGTCCTCATCTCCTGCTATGTCCATTTGTTGAAAGTCGATCTTGTTGGCCTCTAAAAAGCCCACAACTTCTTGTTGTTTCTTTTTTATCTGGGTAGGAAAGAGGGAAAACAACATTCCTCCTTGAAAAAGAAAATGGTTTTCTAAAAACAACTGCTATTACAAGAACTCAGGCAAGTTTGTCAAGTTTACGGAATCTTTTAGGGTAGAAAAACTCCAAGATCATTGAGTCCAGATGTCCAATCTTCACCTTGTCCCCAGCTCAGAGCACTGAGTGCCACATCCAGACCTTCCTTGGACACCTCCAGGGATGAGCACTCCAAACCTCCCTGGCAGCCTGTTCCAATTCTTGACAACCCTTTCCATGAAAAAATTCTTCCTAAAAGTTGGAAGCTCCTGAATTTGGATTCACTTCTCCAGTAGCCCTCAAACTTTTTGAAGCTGAGATTCAACACTTTCTGTCAGCACCCAGAGTGCTGCCACTACATCCCTCCCACCACACACCCGTCCCCCAGCTTCCTTCTTTCCTCCCTGGATGCAGTGACAACTCCAGCTAAGAAATGAGGCTCAGCAGGAAGCCTCCTACTGCGTTCCCAGATCTGGGAATGTGGTCTACAGATACCTATGGTGATCCTGCCTGAAGTCAGTAAAGGTCTGAAAATGTTCATATTTCCTTCAGCATGTTGCAGCCTCCTTCTTCCCACCAATCACATGTGACATTCTGCTTTCTGTGAGCCACATTTCTCTCTGTTCTTTAATGCTAGGCATAAATAAATTTCACAGAATCAGAATCACATAATAGTTGGGAATGGAAGGGATCTTCCAGGTAGGTTTGGGATGTCTCCAGAGAAGGAAACTCCACATCCTCCCTGGGTGGCTGTTCCAGAGCTCTGCTACCCTCAGTGTAAAGAAGTTCTTCCTCATGTGGAGGTGGAACTTCATGTGTTTTAGTTTACAGCCATTGCTCCTTGAGATATAATATATAAATATGAGTTAAGGCTCAAGAAAATCCAGCACAGCTGAACTCCTGTGCTTAAATAAATCCCCCATTACACAATGGCATTCCAGCTGGACCACAAAGAACGTGTCACATACAAATAAAGCTTGTTACACACAGCTTCTGTGACATCCCAAATTCACTCATGGCCCTTATTCCCTCTGATGCTGATTCTGTGCAGGCATAGAGCTTATAACCTATCCTTTTACTCTGAAAATGTAACACTATACTTCCCTACTAAAGGAATGCTACTCCTGAGCAGCTTTTAAAGAACTTGCCACCAGACATAGCTAGAATGAGGCATCAAGGTAATTTTTATATTTTGTGATTTGAAACCATGTCCTCCATATGTCAGACATCTGAGCACCTGAAATTAAAGTAACACCAAGCTAGTGTAAATCAGAGGGACAGGCAATAAGATGAGAAGTAAATCAGGGATTATGCATTTCCATAATCTAATAAAACAGAAGAGCTGAACTAGAATGATAGCCTCTTATCCTGGAAGGATGAATTCTCGTGAGGAAGGATAAAATTTCCTTGTGCAAACAAAGAAGCATTTATCTACACATATGTTTGCTTATAAAAAACAAGAAACATAAAATGCTGCACATTTTTATGACAACAACAGAGGTTTGTAGTGAGCTAAAAAAAGTGCATCACTTTGAATAAAAACACTAATCCAAAGTGGTTAAAAGCCATGCAGTTGACAGAGTTCAAAGCTGCTTATTTCTGTTTAAAAAGAGAAAGTAAGAATAGAAGTAATCCCATTACTGGCTATTTAGCTGCGGAGTGACTTGTGGAACACATTCAGGCAGCAAAAAGGATTGCTCAAAGGACATTTCACTGGAGAAAGTGGCAGGATAACGTTTGGATAAACGGTTAATAAAATCTGCACGAGGCAGCAGCAGGAGTAACATCACATGCTCTGAGGGGCAGGGCACTCAAGTGCTGTCAGCTGCAATTGCAGGGTCAGCCTGTGCCTCTGGATACAGGCACTGCAGGAGATAGGGCTCCTGGAATAGCTGCTGCTCCAGACAGACGGTGCCTCTGAGGAGATAATGGAAATGGAGCCACGGATTCTGTGCTCCCTTGCTTATGAAAGCTGTAACTTTTAAACCTGGCTTAATATTTTCTCTTCAGCTTGAGGTACATAATGCACAGGAGGCTCAGGCAGCACCAAAAAATTGTGTGAAAAAAATGCTGAGGTAAAGCAGTAAGCAGCATGGAATTATGCTGCTTAAGGAAAAAGCAAGGAGTTTCTGACTATGACAACAAGATAAACAAAGCAGAAGATGTGCTGTGCCTTAGGGCTCACCATTACTGGGGTTTAGGCAGAGCAAGAGACTCGGGACACAACCAAGTGTGAAACCACAAAGCAAACCTTCGCTGTGGGTGGCACTAAGTGGGCAACCAAAAGAATCTCTCCAGGAAGCAGCATTCACAGAGGGAAATTTAGGGTGTAACAACACAGAGGACATGTAAAGGCTTTCCTAGAATGGATGAGACTGCAGGAGCTTGTTTGTGCCCTCCCTTGTGTCTGATGGCATGGGAAGAATTCAAATTACTCGGGCATAGATTACTCGGAAAGTGGTGATGAGCAGGATATTATTTCAGCAATGTCAGTTTTTCTTTCAGCAAAGCTTGAGTTGTACCATCTCTAGCTACTAGTCCCTTAAAAAAATAAAAAAAATATGTTTTAAATAAATGTTACCTAGCTAGAGTATAGGAATTGCCAGAGAGGTTGTGGACTTCACATCCCTGGAAGTGCTCAGAGCCAGGTTGGATGACAGAATCACAGAATGGTTTGTGTTGGAAGGGACCTTAAAGATCATCTCATTCCAACCCCCTGCATGGGCAGTGACACCTTCCACTGTCCCAGGGTGGTCCCATCCAACCTTCCATTGCCAGGGATCCAGGAGCAGCCACAGATTCCCTGGGAAACTTGTGCCAGGGCCTGCTCATCCTCATAAGGAAGGAATAAATATTTAATCTAACTTTTTACTCCTTCATCTTAAGGCAATTCCCTGTGTGCTGTCCCTCCATTCCCTGGGTGCTGTCCCTCCATTCCCTGGGTGCTGTCCCTCCATCCCTTGGCAATTGTCTCTCTCCATGGTTCCTGCAGCTCCTTCAGGCCCTGCAAGGCCACCCTGAGCTCAGCCCAAAGCTTCTCCTCTCCAGGCTGAACAATCCCAGCTGTGCCAGCCTTTCCTCCCAGCAGAGCTGCTCCATCCCTCTGCTCATCCTGCTGCCTCCTCTGGGCTCTCTGCAGCAGCTCCAGCTCCTCCCCAAGCTGGGACAGGGCTGGGGCAGCTCTGCAGGTGGGGTCACACCTGAGCAGGGCACAGGGGTACAATCCCCTCCCTTGCCCTGCTGGTTATGCTGCTTTTGACACCGATTCGAAGGGGGCCAAGTTCATAAAATGTCACTGAAACCACTGGAAATAAAAGGATTTTAGAGGTGCCATAGCCATGAGCAGCAGGAACTGTAACACTTCCTCTGTGCAAGACATGAATTCTCTTTCTCCCAGAATTTATAATCTTGCAGGATATCACCAAATCCTAAACACCTCTGTGACTAGCAACATTTTTTTTTGTTTTGTTTACTCCAAGCCAAGCATTTAGTGCTTTTTAGTGCTATAAATAAGTGTCTCCACTTCTGCCTGCCTTAATGAATATTTCAATATCAGCTAAATCTGGAGCAGAAAGATAATAAAGCTGGAGATATTTAAAATAAATTTCTGAAGCATCAAGGGGAAAAAATACAGACTGCAGATTTGCTCCAGAGCCACAGTGAATTATAACATTCCAGCATCTGATCCAGAGCACCAGAATGTCATTGGGTTCACTGCATTCACCTGCACTATTTATTAACATGAAAACCACTTGAGGTGAGTAGGGTGACCATGGTCAGTACATAAAATAGAGACTTTTTCATTCTTTGCCACTGATCCTCTGCTGATTTACACCAGAGGCTGGGCCCATCTTATATTGAATTCAAAATCAACACTATGCATTTGATGGGGTCAGCCACCAAATTCGAAGATATCACCATTGATAATAGGACAACTTAAACTTCCAATTTAAACTGTTTAGGGATTAAATTAATTCTCCTCAGGAAAAGCTGTACGTACTTGATACAAAATTCCTATTTAATAGGATTTTAGTGATATATTGAGGTTTGTGCTAACTCCCTGTGTGAGCGAATTTTATTTTATATATACTAGAACTCATTAAAGGTTCATTGAAAGGATACCTTCCATCCATGTTAATTGGAAAATGTGGAAACCTACTCCAGGTGTACTTGGCACTGCAATTCAGGATCAGTAATCTGAACCCATGCTGAGATTGCTACAGATGTACACACATCCAGCACACCAGAAAGGAGCAAATACAGAGGAATATTGCCCTGTGAAGATCCCATAATTTTCTTTTGGAGTTTCCTGATCAAAACAGTCCAAACAGGAACAAGAAGAGTGCCCAGGCACAGGATATGGCAATTTATAAAGCTACTTGAGCACTGAATGTTTTATTACAAATAAAACTACCAAACCTGAAGTTCCCAACTTCTTCTTCTTTTTTTTAACCCGTTGTATCTGAAGTTTACTATTAAAAAAGCTAAACATCAATAGTAATTTTAGAATATAAAGCTTAGGAACAGACTGATGAGAGAACTGCCAACTTCCTCAGCAGGATTCCAACTGGAACTTTAGTGAAGGACCCCTGGTTCATTTCCCACCGGGGATGGTCCCATAAATGGGGGGTGTTTTTTGGAGCTTTTCCACTCTGGAATCTTCTTAAAGAAATGGAGCTGGTGTCAGGGAGATAGAGATGTAGTTACAGCTCTGTGCAAACACCAGCCAGCTCGTTTAGCCGTGTCACTGGGAGGGAGTGCCAGAGGAAAACTGAAATCTGAGCTCATCTGGGAACTGGATATAAAAGGAAACAGTCCTTTCCCGGCTCCCACCTCCCACGGACTTCCAACCTCCCTACTATTCACATGCCCTTCCCTTCAGCTGATACTCTCTGCTGACAGCCACAGCGGTAGATCTCAATGCTAAAAATCATCAGTATAGCATTTCAACAGACACACACACCAGAATGGGAAAAAAACAAAATAAAACCCCAAAAAACAAATAAACAAACTCAAAAGCACAAACAAAAAACTAACCCCTGCCAAAAAACCACAAAAAAACCTCGAACTAAAAAGAAAACAAAAAACTTCCCAAAGCCCAGGAAATGGAAGGAGCTTGGGAAAGCTTTTCTGCCTAACTTTATCCAGCTCCAGGTTCTTTCTTAAACCGAGTTCCCCCTTCGCAGGAGCAGTGTCCTAAGGTCTCTTTTAAAAACAAGCACTTAATTTTCTTCTGTAAACAGTCTGGCATCGCTTTTGCACAAATACAATACCCACTGTTTCTTTCCTCAGTGTATACATATTGCAAATACTTTCTCAAACAGCAGTAAATCTATGAAATGACAGATAACTTAGATGTTAGTGTAACTGTGGTAAAAGCTCGCAGGCAAGCCAGCCTGCACTGACAGGAATTCTCTACACCTTGAGCAACTTTCAAGAAGAAGGTGATCGGGGCAGAATAAAACTAAGGTTTATTCCTGCTAAGAATTGCAGTGGGGTTTTTGTCATGTGCAAGCTCTTTCCTGGCATCCCCTAGGCTAACTGCCCACCCTGATCCAGCGGTAAGAGGATGTTAAAGGAGTCACCTACCGCTGTAGACCCCGAAGATGTGGCCACAAAGACTTTGATCACCATGCTGGCAGTGAATCAGCAGAGCAGCTCTGCCACCCACGAGTCACCACGATCCCCGGAGCAATCCGAGTGTTCCGCACTCCTGGGCTAAGCCGGGTCCTAAATGGATGCCCCCTCCCCCCAGAAATCCTTTACAGCTTTGCCCTCTCTCCCTCTGCCCGGGGTCCCGGGATTTCCCACTCCATTGGCTCTTCGAGTATTTTGGGACGAGGATTGGTCAGTAAGAGGAGCCAGAGCAAAGGGTTTGCACCTGCCCCTGGCCTTATTGCATTAGATTGACAGGGTGGCAGCCCAAAAAAGGCAAGGGAGAGTAGTGCACCAATGAGACAGGGCTGGAGAAATATTTGGGAGAGGGGGAAGGGACAGCTGAGAAGGGATAAGGGACGGGGAGCTGGCAGCTTCGTGCTGGGGGCAATCCCAAAGCTGTCGGGTTCCATGGGCTCTGTCACAGCTCCATCCTGAAGGGAAGAGCTGTCCCAGAACACTACAAGGCTTTGGAGTTGGAGTTGTAGCTGGAAATCTGAAGTTATAAACGAGGAAGGAAGGGGAGCATGGATGTAGCAGTAATTATAGTAGAGATAATATTGAAATAAGCCTTGGTTAGGAACGCTCTCGGCTTTAAAGAATTCAGATTTGCAGGGCTCAGGGATTTTCCTGACATAATTGTGTGTCAGGACACTGCCTGATTCTGATTTGCCTGGCTCGATGTACCAGAACCTATTGTTGCATTTTCTCCTCCTTTTCGCATCACCACTGAAAATTTCCAGGGCACAAGGCGTAAGAAGAGATCAAGAATACTCAAGAATACTCAGCAAAAATTATTCCCATTCTCCTGTGTTATCCAGGATGCTCTTTTCTTCCATCTGGCTATTGCCTTTTACCCCAGAGATCGCCACAATTCAGTGCCTGCCTGCACATACTTGCTAAAGATCATCTCTGGGCATGAGAGGTATTTGAAGAATGTTAAATGGTCACAGATTATTTTCAAATTTTAAGGGCCAAGTCTGTTTCTGCTGTGAGCAACATGAGCTCAGTAAAGCTGATACTGTGCCAGAGGTGAAACTGGACTAGGTTTTAGAAAAACATGTTTCACATGTTAAGATTGAATATATTAATGTCTGATCCTGAAAACGCTTAAAATGGATAACACTTCATTTCCAGAATTTATTAGATGGGACTAAATACACTATTACATAGTAAAAAAGAGTAAAAATGCTGTTGAAAGGAAGTTTTTTTGTCTGTATGCAGTATGCAAAGCTGGAAATGCAGTTCTCCATGTATGGAACCAAGATCCTGAAAAACTGCACTGAAAACTAAAAATAACAGTATGGGTAGTTTACTGTGGCTCACCATCTGTCACCTCTTTTTTACTTTTGAGAAGTAACAGGAGGTCCAGCAACAAGCTTATTAGAAGCAGTATTTTCAGAGTATTTCCCTGAAAAAGAGCAACAACCACAAGAAAAACCCCAGTGAGAAAACATTAATTATTGCCTGAAGTTATTTACACATGCTTGTTTCTCAGGAGATTTTATATGTGAGTATAGCCTGGGAAATGACTGGCCGTTTGGAATAGAATATTTCCTAATTATTTGGTTTTCTGTGCCCTTAAGAATTACAACCAAAGGATGAAATTATCCTGGGCTTCACCGCATACTGCTCAGCCTTGTGATAATGATGTTAATAATTCATCAGAGAATCACAGAATAAGCTGAGCAGGAAGGGACCTACAAGGATCTTTGAGTCCAACTCCTGGTCTTGCACAGCACCATCCACAGGAGTCACACCATGTCCTCAAAGCAGTAAATATTTGCACCACCAAACATCCATGGTCAGATTCTGGGGCAGAATTGCCAATGAGCTCTGGCTCCTGCTTGGCTTCACACCCGAAACGCTGAGCTGCGCATGGAAACTCCACTCCTGAGGAATTTGGGTCTTGGCTCCCATTGTGTGCAGCCTCCAAGGAAACCATGGCTTCATTTTGAAGGGATTTTTCTCCTTTTTCAATGTAAGAATGTTGACTTTAACCCTGACTTTGGAGCTTGTTGGGTCCGGCCTGTGTGCTCTGAGGGCACGTCCAGGCCGTGAGGCACCTCCATGGGCAGGGCACAGCGGGACCCACAACATCAAATTCCCATTAAAACCCCACTGTGGTACTGAAATATGAGGGTGGAAATACACACACAGGCTCCTCTGTAGGGTCTGGGGTGAGGGAAGAGGGAGGAAAAAGGTGAGACCCTGCTCCAAAGGTGCTGCCGCCATTTCCCACAGGAGCAGGGATGGAGGCCGATGATGGCGGCTGGTGAGGCCGTGAGGGGACAGCACACACTGGGGTGGAAGTGGGGAGAGATTCCTAGAGAGGACACGGGACAAGGTGGGATCCTTCACCTGTGGATGCCAGCACAACAGGGGGAACAGAGCAGGGTGAGGGGAGGACATGGGGCTGAGTGTGGGGTTATGGGACACGGAGGGAGATCCAGGATATGGGGCTGGGTGTGAGGTTGTGGGACACTGGGAGAGAGGCCAGGACATGGGGCTGGGTGTGGGGTTATGGGACATTGATGGGGTGCCAGGACACTGGGCTGGGTGTGGGGTTATGGGACACTAATGGGGTGCCAGGACATGGGGCTGGGTGTGGGGTTATGGGACACTAATGGGGTGCCAGGATACTGGGCTGGGTGTGGGGCTGTGGGACACTAATGGGGTGCCAGGATACTGGGCTGGGTGTGGGGCTGTGGGACACTAATGGGGTGCCAGGATATGGGGCTGGGTGTGGGACTGTGGGACACTAATGGGGTGCCAGGACACTGGGCTGGGTGTGGGGCTGTGGGACACTAATGGGGTACCAGGACACTGGGCTGGGTGTGGGGTTATGGGACACTAATGGGGTGCCAGGACACTGGGCTGGGTGTGGGGTTATAGGACACTAATGGGGTGCCAGGACATGGGGCTGGCTGGGTGTGGGGTTGTGTGTCCAGGTGGACACTGGTGGAGTGCCAGGACATTTTCATCTCTGACACAGGAATTTGGCCCTTAAAAAAAAATTAATTAATTCCTGTACCTTTTCAACATAAATTCTCCTGGAGTTTGTCCATTCCAGCCTTTGCCTTTTAAATTCTATTGCGGTATCTTTAATTTCATATTTCTGTTTCTTCTGCTTCACCTTCGGTTTTCCTGTCTTCTCCTTTTCTATTTTATTTACTTCTCAACACCTGCTCTGGATGAGCAGAATCAGGCCACACTTCTCCTCAAAACAAATTAAAGCAGTAGTTTTAAGTTTAATTTTAGGTAATTTGCTTTGAAGACAATTTGCCTAGAACGTGTTGGCAGTGCCAAATCAAATTTTAACACAAATACAGATCTGTGAACCAACCTGGGCTTTGCCTAATGCTCAAAATATGATTTCTCATCTCTTGTGGGTTATTGCACTGCCTCAGATTTAGCAGGACTGTGGCATTCCTCAGTATTCCACAAGGAAAAATTGTTCATGCAAAGGAATTAAGAGCAATGAAACTGTTTTGATTCAGCCTAAAATGTTCTGTGCAATCTTGAATTGCTTTTTTTTAAAATTTTCTTTGGGAGCTGTGTGATTTCCCTCTCCCCTTTAAGAAATTTAATTAAAAATGAAATGCCAGCACAAAGCAAAAAAGCCAACAAAGGAGTTAGAAGGTTCTAAGAAAATGGTTTCGTATTTTGTTAGTGAAGGGGACATGTTAAAATCCATGTGAACTAAAATACCATTTTAACCTCCCTCTAATTTCCTTTCCACAGTTACCATGCTCCTTTTAGACCCCCAAAATATAACATTTATCCTTCTACTGTGTAAGATTCTTCGTTTATAAATGAATATTAAGGGAGCAAAGATGAATTTCTCCGTGGCCCTCTTGTCACTATGAGGTGAATGTGACATTGTCACTCTCAAAACCCTCTATTAGCAAATATTTTCCTACTTTTCGATTTTCTTCCTCTTTTATGCAAAAAATAAAAGTTGAATTATCTCTTTGGGGGCCAACATTTAGCCTCTTTTGTGTTTTAATCTCATATTTGGGTGTGTTTAGAACCTAATTCCTTTCCACAATTGTGGCTCAAGGCAAAACCTGCCTCTCCTCACCTGAAGTGGATTGGAACATGATAATAAGAAAATGGAATGGGTATCAAGCCATATCCCAAGAAATAATTTTTACCAGAATTACATTGTTTAAATAATTCTGCCAGGAGAATAAACTGATCTGTTCTTGCACTTCCCAGTAGCCTCGGCAAGGAAATAAAGGAAAAAAATAGGGAGAAAAAAGGAAAAAAGAAAAAAAAGCTTAACAGTTATTCAGAAAGGTCTAGAAAATTACTTAAATTATTTTTTTATGCTAAATATGCTAAGAATGCTTTTTGCAAGCATTCTAAAATATTTTTAGGTTCTCTACCCTCTGCTGAGTGTTAATATGGCAGCTAAGGTGGTTTTTGTGCTGTTTTAAGGGATTAATTAATTTTGTGATCTGATTTGCTGTCTAATACTTGAAAAATGTGATCATTGATATTTTTATGACATGAAGTACTCTGAAATCCCAGGTACAGTGGTGACCTCTTAGAGAAGACACAAGAGAACATTCATTCCAGATGATTCCAAGAGCTTTGTCAGTGGCTGAGCCTGAAAAGCTCAGAGGAGGCAAACCTTTAGAAACACCAGGAACTGAAGAGAAGGAAACACAGAAAAAGGACAAGACAAGAAAGGAAAGAAGGAAATGTGGACAGTATCTCTATGCCCAAGGTGATAAAAAAGGTAAATTTATTTTCTGGTAGTATGAGATTCCCTTAAGAAATATCATTGTTCCCTTTCTTTGGCTTTTTTTTTTTTTTTTCCAAAATTAGCAAGACAGAGACAACAGGTTTTCAGTGAAAGAATATAATAAATTCTGTTTGAAACATCAGTAAGGGGAGGGAAGAGAGAGAGAGATTCCCTGCTGTGTTATCCCACAATACTCAGTGATCCAAAGGGAGAATCACCTGGGATGTGGGAGCCCCTTGGAAATCCTCATTCCTCAGCTTGAACCCAAGGACCTGAAAATGGCTCTGCCACATTTTGGTTTCTGACCATGCATCACCTGGAGAGTCTGAAAAATCTTTTCATAAAGAAAATGGGAAAAAATAATGCACAAAAGTGTCGGTTTTGAGCAGAAAACAGCGATTTTGTGGCCAGCTGGGTCATGGTGTGTCCTGTGAAATGAATTTGTGCCTCAATGGAAAGAGCATAGAGAACAAAGATGTAAATGTACATGGAATTTATGCCACTGTTAACAGTGAGGAATCTCTACATGTCTGCATCTTTTCCCATCTAGACCCATCTTTTCTTAAATCCTTAAATCCTACCAGGCCACATCACAAAAATAAGTGGAAAAACAGCAACCATTTTCCTGCTGAGCTTCAAAATTTCATTTTGATTTATTAAAGCTACAAGATGGAAATCAATCAAAAAAACAAAACAAAACAGAAGAACCACTGATTGTCTCCATTATAATCTCTGTTATTATATGCTGCTGTCAAGAAATTATACTGGCATGAAAGCAGCAGACCAGAAAATATAATAACATTTTTTATAACTAGTTAGCAAAAAAAATCATTATTGCCCTCTACCTGTGGTGGGTAATTTATTGTATATATTTGTAGATGCTATTTATCATTTGGATAAAGTGTTTATTCTTGCTTGTCCATGACTATTGGAAATGAAATACACTTTACAGTACTTCTGACAGCTTTTGCAGAAATGTATTTGCCCTTTTTTCCCCATCCTCAGTTGATTCTGGCAAAATTAAATCGTAAGATAATGTAATTTTGCAAATACTTGTGTGGCAATATTTGTGGTCATATTGCAGTTTTCCTGCAGTGGAATTGTGTTACAGAAAATATTGGATTCAACAGAAATTCTTGGAAAGATCTGTCCTTTTATTCTGGTGTTTTTTAAAGTCAGGACCTCACCTGTTTTATCCATAAAATATGAGTTGATCTATAAACTATAATAAACTTTTTAGCAAAATACTGCCTGAAATGCCATGAGAGCTGTAGTGAAACTGAATATATGCCTGAAAAATGAAAAAAACACTCAGATTTACAGTCTTGACTATTTTTAAATTCTAATCCTGCTTCAGGAAAAGAAAGTGAGAGTAATTCAGCCAGAATCCTAGCCTTGAGGAGAGGCAAATGGCAGCAGCACACTGAGAAGTAGCCCATTAATATATATTTTAATTGCTGTTTAGAAATCATGCAGACAACAGAACACCTGTTCTATGCAATGATCATTTTAGGTTTTAAAATGTAATTTAATTCAAAGCAGACTGGAAAGCTGTAGAAATCTGGTTGGAAATCCCAGCTGCAGGGATTTTAACCATGTGCTGTTGGGAGCATGCTGGTTTTTGAGTCCTTGCAGACCTGTAAAATGCTCTGTTGTTTTTTGTTGGTCTTTTGCCTTTTTTTTTAACCATGAACCTATTCAAGGTGTAGATTCTGATTCGTTGTATTTGGTTCATCAGATTGTGGCTACATTAGTGAAGTGCATGATTTACAGGAAGCAAACTGATTTCCATTGAAAATGGATTGAAAATTTATTTCCATTGATTTATTTCCATTTATCTCCATTGGATGCTAGATGTGGTCTCCTGCAGCCACAGAAAGACACAGAGATATAAAATATTTAATGCATTTTTCTGTGAATTATTTGAATCACACAATCCTAGAATAGTTTATGTTGGAAGAGACCTTAAAGATCATCTCGTTCCAACCCCTGCCATGGGCAGGGAACCTTCTCCTAGACCAGGCTGCCCACTGAACATCAGAGTTTTGGGGCATTTTGTGAAGAAACCACAAATCTGCAGTTGGATGAGCAGTTTAGGAGTAGTAATTGATTAGTAGTAGGAGTTTATGTGAGCAGAAAATAACTCAGTGATTGATTAATCTCAACAAATTTCTGTCTCTCAATGCCGATTTACTGTGATCCCAATGCAGGAGGGAAGAAATGGCCAGCAGCAAAACCCTCCTATTTGAACTCCTCCTTTTTAACCCTGCACAGCGGCGTGGTTTACCAGGACAAAAACGCCACGGCCCAGCGAATATCCTCAGCCAGGCTGCACAAAATCAAAGAGCTGAAGAACGAAAAATTCGACTTGCAGAGGAGAGTGGAGGCGTCGAGCTTGGAGAACCAGGCTCTGAGAGAGCTGAACCGCCGGCAGGGCAGGGCCATCGACAGGTACAGCAGCGCCGAGAGCCACCTGCAGGAGCTGCTGGCAGGACACAGGAACGACATGAGAGACCTCAGGACACTCCTGAAAATGTCCCAGGAGGCCGAGAAAAACACAGCCAGGGAGCTCAAAAGAGTTGAAGCGGAGCTGAGGAGAACTGAAAGTGATCTGAAGACCTTGGTTGTGCTGTCAGAAGATAAAGCTCTGGCAGAGAGGGAGGAACTTAACCACAGGCTGGCAGTCCTGAACAAAACATTGGAAGCAAAGGATGAGAGGATACAGGTAATGCCTGCAAGTTATTGTATTTGTGGAATGTAGGGGCGTAGAATATCCTAAATTGGGAGGGAATCACAAGGATCATCGAGCAGGAGAAATTTCAGTGCAGGAATAGTGGAAAAATTTTGGCTAGTTCTTATCACATGAATGATCCTGATATAATCCTGTAACACTGGATGCTGTTTGATCCAGAGCTCTCCTGAGTGTAAGAAAGTTCAAGAAGAGATAATTCCTCTCCTTTTAATATCTCATATTTCTTTACTCTCACTGACCCCGGCACAAAAGGGATAGGAACACCATTTTTACTACAAAACTGGAAGAATGAAATTTCCATTGTCCTCCAGGAATCCATTTCTATTTCCTCTGGGGTCTATTATGCATAAAATTAAATAAAGAGGCAGGAAATCTTAAGAGATACTGTAAATACGAACAGCTGAATTCAAACCCCCTTTTAAAAACTTTCTGTTTCCAGGCGTGAGCAGCTATAAAAAGCACACAGGGTTGGGTGTCCACCCAATACTTTCAGGAACTGGAATTTCAGTGCATGGCCTTGGGTTCTGAACATAAAGAACCCAATAAATCACCAAATTTTCATTTACTCTAAGCCTCTTTATTCTGCCACACTTCATAGGTCACTGTGAATAGAAAGCCTTAACATTTCTCAAAGATGGTTGTATTAATTAATCCATCAGAAAGGTAATGTATGCCCTTATTTTTATGATGGAATGCCAAAACCTTTTCATTTGTTTAGCAAAAATAGGTTTTAAACCATTTTTTTCCTTACTTTGAAATTAATTTTTCAGATACTTCAGTATAGTTTCATGCATTGTTTGCAACATAATTTATAATATTATTTATATTACTATAGTTAGAAGATAATAACTGTTATTATATATAATTACGAGCTTAAATTTCCTTGTATTAGCACACTTAGATTTTAAAACTGTCAGAAACTGAAATTTTCCAACTGTCACACTGAGTACATCCATATGGTAAAATCTGTCAATTTTTTAAGAGTCTGGAAATGCAGCTGAAGCTGAACAACAGCACCTTTAGTCGTCAGCTGGCAAGTGAAAGTAAAAAACTTCTGGAAGCTACAATGACCACAAAGAACTTGCTAATGGAAATTAACATCATTCACCAAAAAATTAAGGTATTCTTGATTTTATCCAGGTTTCTGTCGCTACAGGAAAATTCAGGTATTTAATGTTACCTATTCCTTTTTCTTCTTTTACAATATTTACTAATGGAATTTGGTTTCCTGCTTGAGTCTATAATCCACTAAAAAAGCCAAAAATGTCAAATTCTGGCATCATTGTGGGGTCTGTTTGTTAGAAGCAGTTCAATAATGAATTGAAACAGAGATTAATGCATCAGAAATTGAACCACAGTCCACACCAATGTGTTACCATTTTGCCAGATTGGGGTCAGATATATTCATCTACTTATTTTAAATGAGCTCTCCCACAGAAACAAATCAAAATGAGACAACCTGCAAAACTAGAGTTTAACAAAAAGACTCGTGGAAATGTTTCAAAAGTTTGCTCAAATTCCAAGTTTGGTTTTTAGACAAATGGTTTTGGGATAAATAGATCCAGTTCAGCACTTCTTGTATGCTTGTAAATCAAACTTACAGGAAAACTAAATTGATTTAAAGCCAAAACTGCCAGACACGGGATGTCATACGAATTATAATGAGGAAAACCATTACACATTCCAGAAAACCTGGAATCCCTCGTGGCTTTTTCAAAATTGTGTTTGCAACACAGTTAAAATGCACTTCCTTATACATTTCTGTGTGTACAGTTCACGTCCTAGATGGAATCAAATATCTGTGGAAGATGTTGTTAAGGGGAGTTTTCCCTGATGTTGTGAAGGGCAGGACAGGCAATTCCTGAGCATTCATGGAGGTTGGGATTTCTGCACAGGGATGTTGTTTATCCCTCTTCCCTGTGCAGAAGTTTCCTCCTGGTCCTTGGCAGTGCTTTTTCCCTGTCAGAGTCTGATCTCCTCCTGAATGTGCAGATCTGGGAGATGGGAACCATAATAACCTCAGGAACACTAATATAAAACTGTCCCAAAATGCAAATTATTCCAAAGTACAGGTCTCACCTTAACACTTCTCTAAAACAGTTCTGTTTCATCTCTTTTCCACACAGTTTTCTGTGTGTCCAGGTCTCTGAATTTTGTATTTAGATGAACAAAATCTTCTATTGATTTACCACAAAGACCAGACATGCTTCTCAACCTTATTTCTGTGCCAGAACAGAGTTTATCCTTACAAATTCATGGTTTTAGGCACCTGTCTTATTTCAGGCCATTCCACTTCCAGGATAAATTATAATTTTTCCCAAATAAATGAAGCTCCTCTTTTTTCCCACTGAAAACTGGAGTGGTGAGAGTGTTAATGAGATCTATATTCTGTGTTTGAGGAAGATTTCATTAAGGAAAGAGGAATCTTGCTAAATAAATGTCAAAATGTGCCCCTGGAGTTCCTGCCACCACCAGAGCAACAGGCTGTGAACCAGCTGAGTGTATGACAAAGGCACTGAGTAAATTAATTTTTTAAAAATCAACAAAAAAGAGGAAGTAAAGGCAAAAAATACTTAGTCTGGAAAAATGTAAACGACAAAGCCACCACGTGGGTCTGGCAAAAGGTGAAATCCCTGATGGTTTCACCCAGCATGGGAAAATTAAATGGGTAAAAAGTAATTTTTAATGCATATTAGAAGTTTAGTAATGTTTATTTCTTCTTAGGAAAAAGATCGACAACTTTATGTACAAAATATTTATGCAAATCGGATGCCAAAAGCCCTGAGGGACAGAAGTGACCAAAGTATGTCTGTAATCATCTTCTTTTCTTGTCTAGTTAAGTGACACTTCCATTGTTTTAGAACTGGGAAGTTTATTCCAAATTAAATGCCAAAGTAGTGCTTTTGTATGTGCTGAAAAGGTGAAAAGGTTTAGGAAGTTTAAAGGCTTGAATGATAGAAAAATAACAATATAAATTAAGTTCTACTAAGGAAGAAAGAGCTCTTTAGTAAAGAATATTTCTTTTACATGGATGCTCATAGATATTATGGAGAAATATTTATTCCTTGCAGTCTTGGCTATCCAGCATTCCAAGGACAGCTGCTGGTGTGGGATTCAGCTGATTAAAACCAACCAGAGCTGTCTGAGATGCCCCAGTTTGCCTCCACTACCCCCAGAAATTGGGATGGAATGATTTAAACACAAACTTCCCTGGCTGGAGCACCTCTTGAAAACACTGATCAGATATTGCTGCTCCTAAAGTGAAGCAGAAATCAGGACTTCCTTCCTCTGGGTACCAAAGAGCACCGAGCAAACCTGTCTGCTGGAAATGCCCCCCACAGAATTCCTCAAATCATGGCAGAAATACAAAATCTTATCACACTCAGTTGCTTATTTCTTTACTCTTCATTTCCTTTGCACACTCTGCCTTAACCACCAGTGAAATACAGGGAAAAGATTGGTAATTCAAGGTGTAAAATTAAGAAAAACACATATTCCTGGTTCTCATCCCAAGTCAGACACGGTTTTTTTATGAAACTCTGAATTCCTATTTTAGTTACGCCACATAACTACAATTTATTATTTTTATTTTACTCACATATGGCTTTGTATTCAATGGAAATTGAATATTGCTATTCAATTATGGTACTTAAACCATTGTTATAATTTAAATTCTTCTTTCCTTTTAACAAGATAAGGGAGCTTAGTTGGAGACAGACATGATATTTTGTAATGGAAAGCTTGCAAACAAAGTTGCCCGATCTTTTGGAATTTTTAGAAAAAAGTTTAATTCTCTGCCACTTAATGGATTTGGAAACCCGGAGCTGGAATTGCTGACACTTTGTTTTCCTTTTCATTATTGACTTGAATTTTCCTTTAGCAAATTTCTAAAGATTTGCATCTTCAGGTCATTATTTTCTAGCTGATGTTCACAGAAATTTCTTTAGCCAGAAGGAAACTAAACCCGAAATTTGGAGCTGTGTTTTTTTTTTTCCCGGTGCTGACGAATGTCTGGAGGGAGGCTTCCTTCGGTGGTCCCAAATCTCTGTGCATGGAATTGCGATGGATTTATGGGATGGAGCCCTGGATTGCCGGAGCTCCGGCCGGGCAGGGGCTCACCTGGGGGGGCAGCGCCCCCTAGTCCCGATCCCGGGGAACGCCCCGCTCATCCCTGGATGGTAATCCCTGCTCCTGGAGCAGCTGGGGGGACCAAACCAATTCCTCCCGCACCATCGGAGTCATCCCAGGCTCGCCACCAGCGTCCCTTTCACCGCCCAGCTGCCAACACCTGGAGGGCACCGTTTTTATGCTTTTTGTCCTTTGATTTCTGAGTTCAAAACTGGGAATAAGGGTGAATGTGGAATGTGGGTAAGATTCACATTTTTGCTGCTGTGGTGGTAGCAACTTTCTCAGCTGCTGTACTCGTGTCAAAATTATTCCAAAAATAAAGGAACAATATACTCATCTTCTCCATCTCATATCCATATTTCTGTGAACATCTCATTCAATCATCCCATGGAATCTCTTCCAAATACCACTGATATTTCAAACAGTGTTGAGCATTTCCCATGAGCTGGGTTCCATAAAGATCCAAATTTAGGAAGCTGAACTCTGAGGCTTCATAGCAGACGTCTCAAATTTACACTAAAATGGAACCAAAAATTAAGCCCATGTGGGTTCTGGGGCATAGACACACTTGTCTGACTTGATATGTTCTATCTGACCTGGAATTTATAGTGTATTTTTTTATATGTTTATGTATATAAGTATGTTTAGGATGCACTGATGTACAGATGAAAAAGATCAGAAATTCAGGTTTGTGTTCAGTTTCAGCATTTATAGATTCATCAGAACAAATTATTTATTTTTTAAAGATATGCATTTTAAAAAATTATTAAATTTTTGGTCACATACCAGTATTGTCAGTTGCCAGAGACATCTTTTATTTATATCAAAAACCTAATTCCAGAAATTACTGTATTGCTAATGCTTGTCCTATTCAACAGGTCTGAGAGTAGACAGATCAGCACAAGTAGATAAAGAGACTTTTAGAGAACTGCTGCTGTCTCAGCACCAGGAAACAGAAAAACATCCAATACAGCTGAAAAAGGTGGGAAAGATCTGGATCCAAATCCAGTGCCCTGTTTAAACTCTCAGCTAAGGTGTATCTTATTCCCTAAGTTGCAGTAATATACCTGGATAGCCTGATCCATCAATTTGGATGTGGATTTTGCATGAGAGTGATTACAGCACAGAAATAATGCTGTGATGCAAAATAAGAATGTAACATGAATAGAAATTACCAATCTTTTTCTAAGTATTGCACTGATTGTGTTCTTTTAAAAGTCACTAAACAATCATTCCATCGTTATTTTACCTTTAATTGCCAATTGTAGGAGAAAAGAGGAGATAAGAGTAGAGAAGGTAAAGCAAAGGACTTGTGCTCAGATGCCCAGGGTAGAAAAGAAAAGCAAGCAACCAAGAAGGTGTCAATGCCAGAAGTTTCTAACAGGACCCACAGAGGTAGGTTTAATGTTTCTCTCAGAAATCCACCTGATCTTTGCAAATCACCAGAAGTCCTGGTAATTTATGTGGTTCTGACAGCCCTTCACTGGCAGCTGGCTGACAGGAACTAGTTCCAAATGATGAATGAAGTGTCACTGAAATCCCAGAATCATCTGGGTTGGTGATTACAGCTGCTGGTGGTGCTGCACTGACAGCAGAACTGCTCTGCAGAATGTGGCATCTCCACCCTGCTGCTCTTCCCGAAGCATTTCTTGGCCAGGGTGGTAAAAATTCAGTGTTCTGTCTAAAATAACAATTTTAATCCACACTAATCAAACTCTGATCTCAAAATGGTAGCTGGGAATCTTCATCATTGATGTGACTGTATTTCCATGGCTGGAAAAGGAAAAGTAACTACGAGGGCTGAGCTCCTCATTAGTGATCCCTGGAAAGAGATTTTATGTAAATCTCAGCCATTGTGTTCTCATGGAAAAGTTACATGGAAGGGACTCATCTGTAAGCATCTTTATTCTGAAGAAATTTTATAGAACAGAGGAAAGAAAAAGCCACTGCTGTTCCCTCAATCATGTTTGTCTTTCTAGAAACATTCCTGTTATTTCCTTTAAGGCTTTTAGGAAAAGTGCCACCTTTTAGGAACGCCACCATTCTAAACATGTCACAAATGGCAGGAGACACACATATACCCGGGTGGAACAGGTGATGCCAGGTCACATCCCTGTAACCCTGCATGCCTTAACTCCTGAGGTTTGTGCTCTGCCTTTCCAGAGCCCCTCAGATAACCAAAGTCAGCATTTGTCTTTAAAATACCCTTTTAAAACTGACAGAAAACACAGGTCTTACAATGCTCCCCGTGAACTTCTGAAAAATCTGTGAAATCCAGGTTTCTCTCATGGATAGTACACTTTTATTGAAGGCTCACTTTTCTTTTTTTAATTCCTACAACTTCTTATTTCTCCTTTAAGCTTGGATTATGTCTCATTTTGAGGGTATTCTGTGAGCTTCAGCAGGGCACAGGACCCATTAGAAGTCGCCCCCTGCCCAGATAAATAACATTTCTGTACACACATTCCTTTTCCTACTGAAAAGTGGAGCCCCCTCATTTCCAGAGAGAGCTGCTATATATTCCACTCCACAGAAGTAACTCTTGTGAATTAAGGGAAAGGAAACCCTGCATATCTCTATGTTCCACTTAAAAGCCAGAAAGTGACAATTAAGAGTTCAGCTCTCACCTGGTTTCTTTGTTGCACTGTGCATGACTTTTCTGGCATTGTATTTAGCCATTACTGTACATAATGGCAGCTAAATCCATTTAACTAAATTCAACATCATGAAAAAAGTAAAAATAAAGATATTAACCGGGATTCAGTGGCAAAATTATGCTGTTAAAATCTTGCCCCATGCTGTTGTATTTATTATAGATGGTATTTGAAATACCATCAATAATAAGAACTGAAGCAGTGAAATAAGGGTGTGATACTTGCTCTTTTTAAAGCTTCATAACTCCTCATGTTCTTAAACCCCACAATATTTCAGGTGGCAAACTACTGATGAAGGAACGCAATTTTTCAGAATTCATTAAAGAAATGGAAAAAGAGACAGAGTTTCTCGAACAGGAGTTAAAAAGTCTGATGAAATCTGAACAAAATCCTCAAAGTGACAGAGTAAAGAACAATCAAGAGGGGGAGGCAGTGGAAGAAGTTGAAAAAGAAGAGAAAAATCCATATGAGCAGCAAAAGAAGAAAGCCAGGAGTGAAGGTGCAATTCCAAGCAAAGACCTCGCTAGGCAGAAAAAAAAATTCATCTCCTCAGAAGCTGTGGAGAATTTGCACCAGGGGCTCCACACTTCAGGTGCCAAATCCAGAGCAGGCAGCCCGACACAGGCAGGCCAGAGCTGCAGGGACACTGCTGAGGGCAGGGTAAAAATTTCCTTTGGGGCTTATGAACCTTCTTTTGGGCAAATCCCCCTGGCTGGGCAGGACAGCAGCTCTGGAGTGCAGGGCTGCAGCCACCTGCTGCCTTCTGAGAGGAAAACACCTGAGGGAGCTCTCTGGGCAAGGCTGTTTGCAAGGAGACAAGCCCTCGAGTTCCAGCAGCACAAGGGGGATGGCAGACCAGTGAGGGTTGCATGGCAAATCCCAAACTCCAACTCTCCTCATTAAAACCAGCTCCTGAGAATACACAATTATTTCTGATAGTTAAGTACATCAGCTTACCTTTAGAAAGTTTAAACATTCAGATTGTTAAAAAACAAATGTTTTCCTTTCATTAAATGTTTATTAAATCTTACAAGCACTGGCAATTACTTTCCATGATTTTTTCCAAAACAATCCAATCAGTTTTTCCAAAAGACCATTCTGTGCTTGGTGTGTATCTACAAAAACGTGTTGTATTAAGAATTCCTTATCATTTTTACCTGTTACCAGGTAAAAGTTAGTCCTTGTTTAGGAGCTTCCAGGTTTTTGCATCCCCAAGGAGCTGGAATTTGGAAGCTGGGTGGTTGTCAGCTCGCTGAACACCCTGCTTTCATAAGGTTCATTGCTGGGTAAGGACCAACAATGCAATAAAAGAAAACACTTTTTTAGTTCCTTCACTCCTCAAACAGCTTCCAGAATTCACAGATAATAAAAATAATTTGCTCTTACATTGTTTTCACGAGCATTAGAAACCTCTAAAGCCTCATTCTTTCCCACTGTTGGAACTCATCAAAGCAGTTTGCCTGGTAACTTCCCAGCTGACATCCAGAGATGAATGTGCAAGAGGAAAGCATTGTTTTGGACAAGTCAGGCATAGCCAGTCCCCAAAAAGCCTCTAAAAATCCTTGTTTAAGGTTATGTAAGGGAGGGGAGGAGGATTGTATTTTGTTCCTCACAGTAATTCATTAAATACTTGCTAAATTCATGTGAAGTTTGGAAAAATTAGGGGTATTCTGTTAAGTTTTAAAGGCAGTAGCACTTGAAAAAAAATGTGAAAAATTACACTAACAAAAGCTTTTAAAGATGACAAAGGCTTTCAGAGCTGAACCTGCTTGCAGCAACATTTCAAAGGTTGAGAAAAATAAGTAGAAAAATAAATTAGTCCAGGTGATTCAAACAATATTTCCTTATGCACAAACAAGGGGGGGTGTTGTTTTGGCTTGGATTTTGGTGAGTTTGGGGTATGTTTTGCCATTTTGGGTTGGTTTGTTTGTTTGGGGGTTTTGTGGGTTGTTTAGGAAAGCTGCAGTTAACATTAAAAAAGAGATGAGAAAACCAATGGGTTGAAAAGCTTTATTTCCTTAATAAAATCACAATTATACATAACATTCAATCACAGCATTTTTTCCATGATATTTATTTTCATGTTGGCTAAATGCAACTCCTAATATAATATCCCAATTTTTAAATTAACATTAAAAAAAACCCGAACAAAAATATTTAATCCATATATATACACACAACATAACCTGACCTTTAAAACTAGTTTTTAGAAGTAGTGCCAGTTTTGGAGGTTTCCTGGCCCTTTCCTTCCTGCAGGGAGGAAAAGGCCCTGGAATAGCAGAGCAGATCATTCCTCTGTGGGAATTCCAGAGTGGGAAGCTAATTCAGCATCCCCTCTGCAGGGACAGCACTGTCTTCTGCTTCATTGACAGGAGCCTGTGCTTGGCAGCTGAGGAAACCTCTTAAGAGATAAAATCTTGATTAAACACATCTATTTTTTTAGGACAGCTCGAGAATATTCCAATTTTAGGGTAAAGAAATCACAAGGAAACTCTCTTTTGCCCCAAGCCAAGGAAACAACCTCCCTCTGCCCTCTGTACCACCCAACATGATCCCACCTCGGGGTGAAGCAAAGAAACAGCCAAGCTGCCAAGTTAATTCCTAAAGCCAGCACATTTCCAATTTAAAACTACAAATCCAACACTTTTAGACGTTGGTGACAACAGGCCATGACAAAACCTTATGGTTCTGCCACAAATAAACCCAAAAGGAGGTTTTATAATCAGCAGTGCTGCTCTTTCCAAACTGAAAGACAAACTCTGGGAATAGAAATTAAAAGGACTGACTGATATCCAAATGGAGTAACAAGGATTGCCTCAGACCTTGTCTCATGAAAGATAACTGTCCCTTTCTCTTTTTAAAAGAATTTAAAACCATGATAATGTAAATGCAGTTGAGGAGTCCACGGATTGCTGGGATTCCTTCAGCTGAAGGGGTGCAGCATGATAGCTACAACTTTATTGCAGACCACGAGCCAGCAGGTAATTCCCACTCCTCCTGGAAAAGAGGGAGAAACCACGATTGAAGTTGTTGGATCAATAACCCTGAGGAACCTGTGCAGCTGAAAACGACCTTGGAAGTGTAAAAAATGGAACTCAGAATTGACGAGGCCAACAGGAACAGAACTCTTTATATACAAAAGGGAGATATGAGAGATGGGAGATAAATCAATGCTGGTCCCAAAAAATTCTAGATTGTCTTGGGAAAAGAGCACCAAACACACAAATATGTGGTGAGTGCACCCCACAGCTAAAACCAAGAGAAAATATCTGAAGTTTAAGGCCTGGCAATTCACAGAATGCTTTGCTTGAACCTAAATTCAGGATTTGAGAGAGGTAAAAAGTAAACTTCCTCTGAAATGGAAATCTGTTGTTTTGTAAGTTCATAGCTATTCATAGCACACCTGTGAAGAAAACTCCCTTTTGAGTAATTTTCTGATTTTCTAATTTAAATCTTCCCCAGGGTCTATTCAATACAGATAAGGGCAATGCTCTGTTTGGATGGAAATAAAAATGACAAAATTCCACGATCAGTTAAAGAAACCGGAACTGAGCACACACGGAAGAGCTGCTCAAATATTTGAACCCTGTGCTCTGGGAGTCAGAGAAGGAGCTGCTGTTAAGCCATGGATGCTTTGGGGCTTGGGAATGTCCTTTTCCTCACCTGCCACTCCTGTAGGGAAGGCCACCAGGCGCTCCAGGGGAGCCAACCATTTGCTCGGAAGCACCGTGACAGGCTCAGAGTAGTACTTCCAGATCAGAGAGATCATCAGGGCAGCCTGGAATGGGAATTTTTATTAGTTTGGATAACAGAACACATCAAAGTACATTCCTAGTGCTATCTGGAAACAGCAAATAATAAATTCTAATGAAAGGGAATTGTTTCTTTGTTATTTTATCTTCTTCAAAATATTTTTAGATTTGGCATGACCTTAAATTTATACACATTAGGAAACAGCAGTGAGAACTTGTTTTCTTTCAAGACCCTCCTTGTAATCCAGCGAAGTCAAACAGAGTCATAACATTTGTTCAAATTCTGAAGATCCTTTTTATCCTGATTTCTTGCCTACAAGGAATGCAACTCACTTTAACAGTCCCCTAAGGAAATCTTCAGGCTGACCACTGCCATCCTCGTTAGAAAATTCTTTGGCATCACGTCAGAACTACACAGACAATCTGATGAGGCACCGTGGGGAAATGTGTGGCAGCTGTAGGTGGAGATTTGCATCCTCAGCAGAAGTATATTTTGTTTTCAAAGACAAAATTATATTTATATGTAGCAGAACATTCCTGGATTTGGAGTCATATATTAAAAAAAACCCCACTGATTTAAGACCTAAGCCAAACTCCAATCTTGTTCCCCCAAAACCAGAAACACAGAGCTGAGATGAAAGTTCAACTCCTTCCATCCCAAACGACCAGATTTTATCAGCAGCATTTCCCTTCCAGTTGCAGAACCTCTTTCTGTTTGACAAGCTCTGTGTCCTTGGAATCAGAATGGTTTGGAGTGGAAGGGACTTCAAAGCTCAACCAGTGTCACCCCAGCATGGCAGGGACACCTTCCACTGTCCCAGGCTGCTCCA